AAAAATAATAATAATTATAGATTGGTCAAAAATTACGCGAATTTGACGATGCTCGTACGACTTATGTTTATAGAAAAAAAAACGAAACAATATTTAAATCCGGTACAAAAATTAAATGATTGTTAGAGATAGTTAGATACTCGTAAAATTCACTCAAACGCGTTGTTCTTGTTATAACGAAATTAAAAAAAAAAAACTACTATTTATTATTCTAAATGAAACTAGTATCCACAAATAATATTTTTGTAATCAAGGTCAATCTTTTTAAAGGTTTGTATGTGATGTTTCTTCTTTTCAATGATCATTAGCTATTATCTAAAAGCGAGTGTTTATTTTCATTCCACGGTATAGGAAATGTGAATAGTTCAGTGCGTATATGCTGTAGTGACAAAAAGTGTTCACCCGTTCAACCGTTCCAATATTAAACCATAATTGGTTTTTCTTAAACTCTGAGCGAAGACAGGAATATATTGGTTTAACTATGATGTGTTTTTAATGTCTATAAACAAATTTTATATCATATGTCATGCTCCAATCAAAAATTATATAAGCACTTTTTTGTAGTATTTTTGAACTTTTTGGTACATTGGGGAGCATTTTTTGATTTTTCTTGTGGTCTCCTTAATAAATTGGAAAAACTGGCAATAGTTTACATAATTTTGGTTGATTTCTGTGTTCGACTATAATACAACCATAATACAACCATATGACTAATAATATTCTGCACAGAATCGTTTTTCGTTAGAAATAGTTCAACATTGGATACAGTTATAAATTAAATTATTATTCTCTTTCCCAACTTATTTCTTTAAATAAGTATAGTGTATTCATCAACAGTGTCAGCCTTATTTTTAAGATCTTATTAACCAATATAATATATAACAACTTAAAAAGCATCATAATATATATATACAATACATATATGTATATGTATATAATAAGAAACGTATTTTAAAATAGGACAAATTGTTTTTTTTTCCATTTAAAAATGACTGGCTAGTATGTATTATTTTTATTGTCACATTAATCCGAAGACAGGTTAATCCGAACGGATTTGAGAACTATCGCATCGCTATATTTAGAGACTTATTTATATAAATAAAATGTCATGGAAATGACGTTATAAAACGTGTAAATGATCATATTCATATGCAGTCGTCAAAAACCACCGAGACGCAATTCACGTGAAAATGGGATTTCGGGACGTAATTCGTGTGCAGCGAAATCGATAATCCGAATGACCCCTTTCACCAATCCCGTTCGGTTAACAAGACCCTAACATATTCACCCACAATATATATTATGGGTAATATGTTACAAAATAATATGTATCCAACTATGAATAATTTTTTAATTTTTAAAAATGTATTGGTAAGTATTTAAGAAACTATCATTGACAGATATAAAATGTGTTTGGTTTGTACCAACTACTGCTAGAATAATTTGTTCTATTAATAATATTTGTAGGTTTGTAGACAAGAGAAAAAAAAAAAAAGAAACATCTTTGTAAAACCAATACATTCCTCGCTTCGTTCAGAACCCAAATGTATATGTATTTAATATACCTTAAATTATATCTAATTTATATCTGTAAATCGCAAATCTTAAGGAAAGTATTTTTTTTTGTTAACACTTTTTCTACCAGTAAGCATATTCCGAATATCAAGTATAACACTCTTTCTAAAGGAAATTTTCCCAATAATATCCGAGATAATGAGGAAAACCTGATTCTTTAAGTTAAAAAAGATTAAAATAAGATTAAAAATAAGGCTGTCATTGACAACCGTTTTTATTTATTTTTTGTTATTATTAAGTTTTTATTGTTTTAAATCTTTTTCAAAAAATCATCGTTGTCACGGAAACTCACATCATTTTACCATAATATGACACATATATTGTTGACAAAGCTACATTATCAATTTAACTCCGCTCAGAATCGTTTTTTCGTTAGCAATGATTTATTGCTTCTTACAGATATACATTAAATGCCTGTCTGTATCCCAACTTTCCAACTCCCCACTAACAAAAGTGGCTGCACTCATGTACGAAGTACCTATGTCCGTCATTTTTTTTTTCAAAGTTAATTTCTATAAGCAATTTTTTTTGTAATTTTTTTCTGCTAATTCAACAATAATGTTTTTCAAACGATTGATTGTCCGAAACGATAAAATATTTATCCAGTTTTCCTTTAGTTAAAGTTAAACGTATTCGAATTTTAATACGTTTAATATAATAGATAGGTACATAATATAATTAAATTAAAAAATGTTAACGTTCTGATACATAATATAATAATTACTTATTGAACACTTATCAGTCGTATATCTACCAAAATTATGAAGTACGCTATAAAATATAAAAGTACTATTTTTTTTTTTTTTTATAGAATATGAAGGGGCCCTCGAAAACTGAGGGCCCAGTGATTGTGCACTATGTGCACATGCGTAAATTAGGACCTGATGTTATCACCTTTATAGGGTAGGTATTTCTTTGAAAATTACTGTTGTCTCAAGTAAAAAGCCTATTTGCTTATTAGCTTGAATTATCTATTGAATAGTTACCGTATAAAAATGATTCAATACAATAATATTGAATAATAATTAATTTTATTATTATATTTGATTATCAAGCCGAATCCATATTCTACAAAGTTTATGTGCTGCTATCTTGTAACTCGATAATAATTAAACGACACCGTACAAGACCGTCAGTCACGACATCACAAAAAATATTTTGAAATTTTTACTACGTTTACAAAAAATCAATATAAGTACTTTATGAAAACCACAAGTCTTTACAAAAATGTTTAACCGAACAACAAAAAAACCCTAATGCCGTACACTTTGCCGTAATTCCGACGCTTCTTCCAGGTTTTCCGTACTTAAAACTAAACTTTTCTACCAGCAAATTTGCTCCGATTTATAATGATAGCACTTTTTCTGAAATTAAATCGGACTGGAGAGATACTTAAAAAAAGTCATTTTTCTAGTCATTCTAGGCGTTTTCCCAATAAAAGAGAAAAACCCGAAAAACACTGAGGAAAAACAGGAAAATATACGAAATGTATTAGTAAAATATGACGGTTTGTTTTAATATTTTTTAAAAACAAAAAAAATATTTTTAAATGTATTGTTTATTAGACGTTGTTTTGACTTTCCCGTCAAGTACTAGTAAACAAAAACACCCGTGTGGAGCAGACACTTATATTATAAAGTATTATTTGAGTATACTAATACGATTCAATACTAAACATTATTTAACAAAACATATTAATCAATAAAAAGCAAAGGTTTTGTAATACGAATTAATATCAGTGTATCAATAAGTAGGTATATTATTGATTAAAAAAAAATCGTATCTTGAAAATACGACTATAATAATATAATTGATGCAGATATGCAAAATATTGGACATCTATGTAATTATTCTGTATTTCACGCCGACCAAACATGTATTAATAATGAATATTTTATAAGTATATTGTAACAAAAATCTTTATTTTTACTTATTTTTAGATTCGGATTATATCTAGTAATACACTTGTTTGGCAATAATTTTAATTAATTTTTTTTTTTTATATTGTGAAAAATTCTTCTACCAGCACTTTTATCAAAGATACCAACAGCAGAGATTAATCTATACATTATCCAATTTTTTTTTTTAATTTCCTGGTAGGTTAAACTTGGCTTATTCACTCACGCCCAAGTTTCCATCTATCTATACCATTCATCAAAATTGGTTAAACGGTTTAGGCGTGAAAATATAACAGATTTACTTTCACATTTCACATCAATATAAGTATAAAATATAATTATATAATTATATAAATAATAAATATAAATGATTTTATTAATTAGCATGTACAAAAATACAAAAGATAAAAATAAAATTAAAAAAAAAAAAATTAACAGTTGCAAAGGTGTAAAAAAAACCACGTGTTATTATCATTATTTTTTACATTGTCCAAACGATGCTTCAAAATTTTAAAAGTAGCCATTTTGTAAAATATATTGTTCTAAAAATTTTAATGGAATATAAATTCATATCCGATAAATATTTTCTTCATAAAAGCTGTTTTAATTTCTAGAAAATTGGCATGAAAACAATGAACTTTCAATAGAATAATACGTTACGTGATAAAGAATCACAATCAACGCAGTAACTTAACTAACGGTACTCCTTATTTTCTATTTAATAGGTATTTAGCTTCATATAATTTCATTAAATATTATTATAAAAATTTAATCAGCTTAAATTTTGATTTAACTTGTATTTAATTTTAGTTTTTATCTTTAATTCATTACTAAGTGAAAACTCTTTATCAATGTAAAACTATCATGACTTCATTAAGTATGCATAATTTATGATTAAATATTCACTTTAGTGCTTTTCCACTGATCCCACTTGAACTGGAACTAATTTCTTCTGGATGAGACATCAAATAATAGCCATTTTAATCTATTTCTTAAATGCTAAATAAAATATTAAATAATTTAATTAAGTATCTAATGTACTAGTAACCCAACCTAACAGTAGCACACCTGTCCCCAGTATAAGCTCTTTTTTTAATATTGGCTAGTATATGAATTATTCATACTTAATATACATATTTAAATTGTTAATGATAATTATATATTATAATTATAATGTTACGAATTTATATTTGAATTAACAATAATAATAATGGCACGATTATACTGTCTCCTCGCCAAACAAATTAACAATCGTAAATAAATATGTTAAGAACATCTTGCATCCTCGTGTATGTCATTCCGTTCAAATAGTGACTAGTATACCTAGTGGTGTATCCAGAGGAAGTTAAAGGGTTGTAACTCCCTCCACCTCCCCGAAATGTCTTCGAAATAAAAATAATACTAATAGTTTGAAAAAAGAATAAAGTGTTATTACACTTAACAGTTTACACAAATATTACAAATTAATAATATAAAAGTCCAGTCCAGTGTAGTGTGCATATTATAATAATAGGTATCTCTATGGTTATCGGTTATCTCTTTCGGTTATCTAAAAAGGCAAAGTGTTTTGCAATTTTTAATTGATGAGGTATATCCACAGACTAATCGTTTTAAGCTAAAAAAAATCAATGTGCAACTCAATGGGTCGATCGCCATGACGCAGTTAAATTATTTGAAGAACTTCAACCAGTCATTTTACATGCACTAGACAAAATTACACTTTGGACAGATTTTGATACTTCTAGTTCTGCAAATCATCTTCTTAGTGCGATAAAACAGTTAAAATTTCAAACAGCTTTATCTATTTGAGTGAAAATACTTTCCATAAGTTTTCCACTTAACCAATATCTTTAAATAGAAATCTTGATTTAAAAATTGCATTAGAAGCTGCTAATGTTCAAAATAATATTCAGGATATTAGAGAAAATTATGATGTAGAGTTTCAACATTTATTTTTATCTGTAAAAACTGTCTGTGGAAAATTTGATATTACTATTAGTTTGCCACGTCAATTTAAATCAGATGATTCGGAATATTTTTTTAAGTAATCATACCTTTTATAGATAATTTTTTAGACCAATTGAACGAAAGATTTATATCGCACAGTATTGTTTTAAATAATTTTGATTGTATTTTACCTAAGATAGAAACAAAAATATCTAAAGATATTTAAGGTGAATTCAAATAATTAGAAGAAATATATGAAGATATAATTAATGGATTTAACGATTCAAATTTAAATGATCATATATTAAACGAAAATTAGATTTGTGGAACACTAAATATTCAAATTTAACATCTTCCGAACTCAAGAACAAAAATGCTAATGAAGTATAATTCCAAACTAGTCTAGATTTTTATTCTGTAATCTAAACTTCTTCAAATATTCATAAACACTTCCAGTATCTATTGTCACGGAAGAACGATCATTTTCAACACTCTGTCGTTTGAAAACATATTTGAAAAATTCTTCGGAACAAATACGTTTAAATGGTTTAGCCTTACTAAAATATATTCATCGCGATATAAACGTGGATATCAATGATGTTATAGATGAATTTGGTAAAACATCAAAACGAAAAATGAATATATATTCATTTTTCGTTTAAAAAAAATAAATATAAGCAAACAGAAATTTGAATAATTGAATTTGTGTGGCGTGTTCTGCAGGTTTAAAGTCCTGAAATTCATCCGCCAACTTTTTTGCACTCTCACTGATCTCGTTATCAGATATTACACTCGTTCAAAAAATACAACTAAATAAATTACTTATTTCACTAAGGCTTATACTGCTTGTTTTAAATTGTGTAACAACAGTGTCAATACAGCGATATAAAACTTGCGTTTCATAATAATGATTTCCTTGCGATAGACGTTGATCTTGACATAGCTCATCATAAAATTTGTTTACTTTTCTCGTTCGTTTACAAAAAAACTCTGGTGTCACGTCCCATAGTAATGCTATAGAATTTGCTTCCTCTATTAAAATAATAAAGTTATCACGGATTTTCCCCATACTATGGTTTTCACAACGGATAATCTGTATACAAATGTATTAGTTTAGTATTCCATTATTTTATTTACTCGAATTGAAATTTGTTTAAACAGTACAGAGTTTTACTGCAAGTTCCCTTTAACGATGAGGCCCGTGGAAAATCTCGTCTTCACTTATATGTAGTTCCACTTCTGAGTCAAGCCCGGTGATGATAATTTTAGATTCTGTGTATAGCGAGGGATCTATTGATTTTCCTATGATATATATTTTTATTTCGTCTGTAAAAAACTTTAATACCAGAAATCTTTCTCCGGTTAAAAAAATAACAAGAGACCTTCTTAATCGCATTTCGGTTCTAGTTAGTTAAAAAAAATTGTCATATTTTGATTTTCCAACAAGTTTTCAAAATAATTATAATAATAATTTTAGATTCTGAGTGGAACGAGGAATGTATTGGTTTTACAAAGATGTTTATTTTATTTATTTATTTTTTTTATATAAACACTTTCTACCAGAAAGCATACCCCGATTATTGAGTATAGCGCCATTTCTGAGAGAAAATTTTTCTGTATGGTATTTTAAAGAGGTCATTTTTTGAAATTCTCGTCAATATTCGAGATAATGAGAAAAACCTTGGTCTTTAGGTTAAAAATAATTGAAAGGTTAAAAATAAGGCGGTCATTGGCAACCGTTTTTATTTATTTTTTGTAATTATTAAGTTTTTATCGTGTTAATATTTTTGAAACAATCATTGTTGTCACGGAAACGCACATTGTTTTAATCATTTTACCACAATATGACATAATACCATATATTGTATTGTTGAAAAAGCAACATTATCAACTTAACTCAGTTTAGAATCGTTTTTTCGTTAGCAATGGTTTATCGTTGATATATATTAAATTACCGTCTGTAGCCTACTTTCCCGACTTTCCACCTACAACAGTGGCTGCATCCACGTGCAAAGTATGTTCATACTTTTTGATTATGATTTTTATATTCTGAGTGGATTGAAGAAGCTTATGGTTTTACAAAGATGTTTATTTATTAATTTTTTTTTTTCCAAAATGCTATCAAGAAGAACAAAATAAGCAATATTATAATGTCTCTTGCGAACAATATGTAGCTATAATAAGGCTAATTCGAACGTACGGATGTGAGGCATGGACAACAACTAGCACTACGGAAAGAAAGCTAAGGACATTTGAAAATAAATTATAGAGAAAAATGTGTGGACCCATATTAGATGCCCGCACGGGAGAATGGCGAAGGATATACGACAAAAAGTTACAGGACATGTTGGAAACAGGAACGATATCTAACTTTATCAAAGGTCAGGGGATACAATGGCTTGGACATATCGTGCGTCGAGAAGAAAATTAACCACTAAGAACGGTCCTTGAATAGGTACCTCAAGGTAAAAGACCACGAGGCAGATCAAGAAAGAGATGGCCGAAATGGAGTAGAGAAAGACTTTGTGAGGATGGTTATTGAGAACTGGAAAGATATAGTACATGACAAGGAAAGGTGGCACGTTATTGTGGTGGCGGCCAAAACCCTCAGATAGTAGATACGCCAAGTAAAGAAGAAGAAAAAGATTACGCGTAAACCTAGATTTTTGCAATTATTTTTGTTTTTCGGTGTATCTATATAAAAAAAAATTATATATATATAAATAAACGTACACCGTCCGTTTAAAAAAATTATACACATAAGTTTTATTCATAATATATGCAAACACTTCGTATTAATTAATTACATCATATTATTGTACACGCTATAAAAAAAAATAGATATACTTAAAAACTAAACGGGGCAAGAAATACAGGGCACTATAAAATGACTCGGGTAAAATCACGACATCGTACAACTATTACACGCTATATATAAACGAATATTTGTACTGTATGATATACCTATTGAAGTTTATTTGGAAATTGTTCACAACTATTCGGTATTTTTAACACTAGCCGAATCACTACACGCTGATTTAAATAATATTATTTATTTTGATTCTCAACTCTTATTATATATGTATTAGTGAAACCATGGGACCTATTAACTATACGGACTGCGTCACTTTGTACACCGCGTTTACATTGCTCGGAAATCAAATAACTTCTGGTTAGCAAAATAAAAGGTATCTAGATACTACATTGACTCATGGATCATCATAGATAATAAATACATTACGTATGGTATAATTTTGTGATACATCGTACAAACATATTAATAAATGGACTATGCTTAAGGGACAAAACCGGGAGCCGATAACGAGTGAAAGAGAGCTAGTTGGGGGGAAGGGCAGTCTTGAAAGAAATAATTTAATATTTCTATTTACCCGAAATTGTCGTTGATTGCCTAAACGATTTGAATTTGATTCGTGTTTATCGTAACGGTATGACTATGGATATTCAAAATCAATTTCATGGCGAAATAATAGTATTATTGCATTCATGATTATCCCAAACTATCGCTATCCTTCTCACTCAGTATCGTTCACGAACATTATAGCCTGAGGTAGGGGGGGGGGGGGCTTAAGGAAAGCTCGGGCCATTTATTAATACGTCTAATGTTAAATCCTGATGAATCAACGTTTTTAATGTTAACGAAAAAAATAAATGTCTCTTTTTCTTCCTAAGGTACAATTTTGTCCTCGTCAGACGTTGCCTAACTAATTTTCTCTCTACGCGTAATGCACTAGTTAATAATATTTAGATCTACGAGCTGACCGGTAAAATAATTTTTTAACGGTAGTTAGTGCATAACGAGACCGAGCTCTTTACAACATCGATGCTACTCATACAAAATACATTATTATACATATAGGTAGTGACAATATCATTTCCCTACCACTCCCATTCTAATATATTATAAATTGTACAACATAAAACTGATTTTGACTAAAACATATCTCTAACGTTTACAATATAAAGACACGCATCATTACGGACTTGAGAACGCGGTTTTTTTTTTTTTTTTTTTAATTTTTTTTTAAATTTTTTTTTCATCCCCGTCCACTATTCTACATTATTAATTTTATGGGCCCGTAAACGGCTTAAACGATTTTTGGTCTCCGTGTATTAGCCAGTCTTTAGCCACTATTGTCCGGCCAGACCAACCCCTCGGGTAAGACCGTCGACGTCCGTAATCGATTTCTGGTTTTGAGCCGACGCGAATAATGGTATGCCGCTAATCACGCTATCATACTGAACGCGATATCTCTAGCCCAGCTGAACGCGCAGTGAACCTCGTTTGGTTTTTCACGCTTTCCGATAAAAATTACAAAAACCGAAATTAATAATTTAAAAATAGTTACGTTTTAACATTAACAATAGGTAATAATAATACTACTAGTAATAAAAGATCTTTTGAAGATTTAAGTCTTCGAAAAAAAAAAAAAAAAAAAACAAACGGGAAACTAAGTAAATAATTACAATAAAGAAATTAAAGCTCGTAAAAGAAAACTTTTGCACAAGAAAGAAAAAACACATCACAAACCACCGTGGAACCGCCTGAAGAGCAGTCGTTCGGAATTTTGAATAGCCGAATGAAAATAACATCCGAAAGCAAAAATATCCCAATAAAAATGTAATATCACGGCTATATTATTTTTATTAATACTAATAACATTTTGAATAGATCGGAATATTTACAAAACGGATTTTCTATATTGATCCGAACGGATTGTACATCGTAGTTCTTAGCATATGATATTCGGATATTTTTGCTTTGTTTTTATTATTTCCGTTCCGACGTGGCATGAAGGGACGGACCCAAAGTATAATTGTCCGCGTGCGGTTCGTTTTGTGTTTTACCCATGATGGTTTGCAAATGCGGTTTCTCTTTTTCGGGGGTGGCGGCAATCACGCGCCGTTCGTTGACTTGGACACGAACGCCCTGTTCCGGAGCGACGATTCGCCGGACACAAAAGCGTTGTGCGCGGCTCCGTGCCGCGGTGGCGCCGAGTACGCGGTTCCCCCCTTGACCGGCGAATTGTCTCGCGATCCCTGGCTGTCCACATCGGTGACGGCCGGCAAGAAACACGGCGTCGACGTCATGTTTGCCCAGAACGACTGTTTTTCGGTAACCGCGGGCGAGACTTGCCTGCCGTGCGCCCGGTCGTCGTCGTCCTTTTTCTTCTTCTGGGCCGCTTTCGCGTCGCTCTGCACAATAAAACCATAGAGAAAAAAAGAAACCATCAAACACTGACAGAATATTATCGATGGTGTCGTTTTGTGAAAAGGGCATACACCGCTAGTAATCGAAAAATACGTTTTCGGTATCAGAAAAATTAAGAGCATAAACTGGTAAATATTAAAATACAGAAAATTAAGTTGGTAATGTCGACTAAAATATATCCGGGCGCGCTTTTAAAATATAATTAAATCAACATTAATTTGTTAAAAGGGCGTATACCACATTCAATGCATGTATACTTTGTGTAATTACAACAAGGCATTATGGGTACGAGTAATTGTATTGTTTTCCATGATAAACATCATTAATAACTTTTTTGCTGTTTTTTTTTTTTTGCAAAATAATTGTATTTTGCTTCCTAGAAAAAAATGAAATTTGATAGACAACCTTTCAACAAAACACCGTCGATTTATAATTATCATATATTCTCCATCTTCGCCTATATCCTGGTCAGCTACACTCATATTCTCGCCCTCTACACCGCACTCACATTTCCGTATCAATCACCTCATATATATACCAGGTGATTCATTTAAATTGATTCATTTATTATCTTGGAAAGTATTAATTTTTTCTGGAATTTGTTTTCTATAACACTTAAGGACACAATTTTATAGTTGTGTTATTTTTTGGGGATAAAACCACTACCTACTTTTGATTTTCAAATGGCGACCTATATTAAAAAGTCCATAAATAGATTGAGTATTAGTTAAAATAAATTTTAGTGTTGACATTTTTTTATTTTCGTCGATCCGTTGATGGGATATTCCACTTTTAAGTATGGGGTTGGAGGAGAGTAGCGGTGCATTATTAACACGCCACGCGCCGTACCGCCACACTGGTGATACTCCTCTACTACTCTCCGCCAACCCATACTTAAAAGTTGAATATCCCGTCAACGGATCGACGAAAATAAAAAATGTCAACTCTAAAATTTATTTTAACTAATTCTCAATTTATTTATGGACTTTTTAATATAAGTTGCCATTTGAAAATCAAAAATAGGTAGTGGTTTTATCTCTAAAAAATAATAGTGACAAAAAATAACACAAGTATAAAATTGTGAAGCAACTTGTTTTTTAAGTGTTACAGAAAACAAATTCCGGAAAAAATTAATACTTTCCGAGATAATTAGTATACCCACTTAAATGAATCACTTAAAATGGTATACTCCGTGTGCCCCTACATGTTAAACAAAAAAAAGTTACAATCGTGTTAGTTTTTACTTTCTTTTTTTTTTAATAGTTGTTACCTATCTTTTTATTTGAGAAAGTAAAAAGGTAGGCTTATTTTTCTTAAAAAGAGCTACGCTAGACTTTGGAAAATTTTCTATTCTTTAAATTATGTTCGTTCATGATTAAACTCTAATTTAAATTTTAAACGTCATAATTCAAATTCTAAGTAACGCAATTTTACCATGTTGCCCATTAGTTGGATCACTGAGATAATAAAATATGTGGGACATATAGATAGATAAACCGCTTCTTAATATTCTAATTTGTGCTAAGTCCATTTGTATTTCATATCTTTTATATTCAATGTCTAACACTCGAACCCGTACTTCAAAGGTGACCTCACAACAATGATTTATCATTTGAGTTTTCTTCTATTTCTTCTAACTTCATTTCCGAATTCTAAAAATGCCGCCTTGATCCTGATTATTTTCAATCTATATTTCACCAAAAATTCTGTTTACCCTTTAATACTTCCAATACTTATGTACTTTCATCGACCAAACCCACATTCCATCTCCGAACATAAAATGCCAGGGATTCTGTCCCGTGTACTCCACCATGCGTGTCCTTAAACAACACTCACCCTTTTTTTGTAGGATTGTTGGTAGAAATTGTAGAACAAAAAGAAGAACATGACGGCGTGCATCAAAATTATCCAAGCGAACGCTTGCGGATAGTCGCATTCGATAAATAACAGCTGGGTGGCGTGCACGAACACCATAATGAATTGGATCTGAAAAACACAAACAGGTGAGACGACGCTTCGTTAGAAATTTAAGCGAAACAAAAACCAGACGACTTTGCCTACCATTTGGAGTACTGTCAAATATTTCTTCCACCACAGGTACTTTTGCATTTCCGGTCCGATGGCTGCCAACATGTAGTACGCGTACATGATAATGTGGACGAAAGTGTTGAGAAGTCCGAAGAACGTACTGTGGCCGCCTGTAAAATTACAATTATGTAAAAATATGGGTTGATTACAAATAAAAGTATTCTAGGAGTAATGATTATACAGGAAAAATGAGATAAAACGATTTTTAATGGCATTTGCGTCATGTCGAGGGAAGCTGATGCGACAACATAAGTGAGTTAAGTGTGTAGAATGCAGGTAGAAATAAGTCAACGAAAAGGACGTTGGAGATTACTAGTAGCATGTGGAAAAGATGAAATGTGGCGGTCATTAGGTCTAGGATTCAAACTTACCGGGAGTGAACTTGACACCGAACCACACGCTCATTGGCATGATTCCGTGATGGATGACATGAAGTGTGGACACTTGATCGTATTTTTTCCGCATCACGAAAAAGAACTATAATATAACGAACAAAAATAGTAACATTAATAGTTTAAAACGATTAAAAACTTAATACTAATCCCTTACAGTGTCGAAGAATTCGGTGAATTTGGAAAAGTAGTACCACCAGCAACCTCTGACTATCTGCAAACAATAAAATTGCGATAATATTTAAATTTAGCAATATCTATATTATTGTATTGTATAAGACGGCGTTTTGAATAGGCAATATGGTAACGCGTCGTCTAATGTACGGGTAAAAACGTTCGATCATTGTGGGCGCATGGACAAATATTATAATATAATATTAGTGGAAACCATTCTGCCGAATTCTGGATATTTTCCGGTGGGTCGCGGTCGATACCGTAATATCCTATTACAACAGCCAATCGGAATACGATAAAAGACATACGTCATAAGACATGAAAATCGACGCGCCTGCTTAACAATTTTTTCCGCGCGCTCTTTTTTTCCAAATGAATTTGTACGCAAATTAACAAGAAACTATGTTCGTATAATATTATTTATAACAGATTTTTTCAGTACTCGTTTTATCTTGAAGATGTTATCATACGTATAATAACAATGTTAAATATTATTAAAATCTCACCCTCATGGCCCTCGGTGACGTCGAGTAGTCGACGGGTTGACATCGAAAACTATAATCCCTGCCCCACGCAGCGTCCCAAGCTTCCCAGAACAGCCACGCAGAGAATAGCACTTGCAAAAAATTATACACGATCAGGGTTTTCCGCAGCTGGAAGGGTTTTCGGTCTCTCATCAGCCATGGTCCAAACACTTTCACTGTGAACGCGTACGTGAGGCACATGACCAATGTGGGTAGAGGGCTGCTCATCAGGAACCAGTCCTTGACCCTTTTATCTGAAAACAAAGATTTTTTTCGTTTACCGGTTTTTGTTCTATTCTATAATCGTGTATAGGAAATGGAAACACAACCCATACATAATATGGTGTCCGAATAAAATTCTGCCACCAAAATTTCGTCAAACAAAAATCCTGTGAACAAAACCAAATCCCGAGAAAAAAAAACGAAAAATGGTCGATCAAAGCCCAATACAAATAAGTACAAATTGACAAACATAATATTATAATACAAATATGTTGGCGGGTATATTCAAAAATATAAGTACATGTAAAAAATATATAACATAATATTTATTTATGTTTTCAATTTAAATAATATAAAACAAACATATAAATTGTTAATATCTACTCCTTGTAAACGATGCTTGTGGTAGGAATAGGGAGCCTAATTTTCAGTTAATGATTAATGTATGTTAAGCCCGAGCGAGAGAAAATAAAGAAAGCATTTAGACCAATGTATTTTTAGTTTTTTTTTTAATAACTTGACTGCCATGAAACCCAAATATGGATCTCGGTAGATTTCCCTAAAATGCCATGATATTTCACTTGAACTTGTCAAAATGTCCTAGGTACTGAATTTTATTAAAAATTATGACGACACTGTACAATCCGATTCTGATATATAAACCATAATAAATGATAACAAGTACGAGATATCAAAGAAAACAAAATATGTTGTCTGAGATCCAAAATTGGGTCTCATGACAAAATCGGCTAGTTTATAAAAAACTACATGGCAGTCAAGTGGTTTTAAAATGTGTTCAATTCAAATTCTGAATGTAGCGAAAAATGTATTGGTTTTAAACAAAAATCTTGTTCCGAAGTATCAAGTATAGCACGCTTTCTAAAAGGGAAGATTTTCCCAGAAGCTTTCCTAATAAATGGAAAAAAACATGGGAAAAAAGGTAAAATAGATGCAATATCAAACAGATATTCTTAAAATAAATTTATAATGCACATGTAATTACATGTGCATTTTACCATAATGTGTACCTATATATATATATATATACATTAAATTTCCCCTTTACTTTCCCAAATTCTCACCTACAACAGTGGCCCACCCACGTGCAAAGTATGTCTGTCTTTTTTTTCATCGTTTTTCCTTTTTTTTGGCAGAATTTTGTCGGATATTATACTACAAACTGATTTTAATAATAATACACTATAGAGTGTATAAGAACTTACGTATTACATTATTATATACAAGATTTATACTCGTACATAGAAACTCAAATAATTTAATTTCAGTATCAGTGTTAGAAACAAAATAAACCAAATTTGAATAATTCACGATTATTATATCAGCGGTCGTCGACGTTTACACTGTACCTATTAATTTATAATAATTTATTACCGTCTATTTTTTACACAATAATAAAATCTATACCATGACGTACTGATCGAATCTGATTATGCATATTTATTATTATTGTTATTATTTATCAACGGCCGCCACACAATAATATTATTATTATCATGGTGCACGAAACCAGAAACTCGTATTATACCAATCTAATCAACCGAATCTCGTTAATAAATTATCTTGAAATTATTGTAAACTAACATTTTTTTTTTTTTTTTTTTTTAATTTCTTTTGCTTCCTAAAATACCAAGTTAAAAAAATAAATAAATGATATCAAAAAACGATTCTTAGTGAAGTAACATGTTTTGATTAATTTAAATTGAAAATCATAATATTAATTTTTTACTGCAAATAAATTACGATTGTTCTTATTTTTTCGTCTAAAATAGTTGGCGCACCCAAATTGCACACCAAAAAAATTGATTGGAACTTCCGAATTGCATGCCACTTTAGCGAAGATATACCCATCATTATATCTTAAGAGATAATAAAAATAATCAAATTTTGTTTTTTTTTTTTTTTATTACTCACTGGGATAAGTACTACAAATATTTATATTTGACTTAAATCTAGTAGTCCCTATAGCCGTGGATAATATAAAAACATAACATTCGATTAACTTTATTATCTCAGGAGATATGCCAATGCGTAGATCTTCGTGGGAGATTCTGTAGAGGGGCTGTCCGAATCATATTCCGTGTATACATGTATTTATCACAACTTGATTTTTTTATTTTAAACTTAATTTTTCAAAAACCATGAATTTATCACCAATCGATATTGTCTAAAAATAATATTTATTTTTATTTTTTTAAAAAAAAAGCTTTAATAAGGGGTGACGTGCAATTCGGATGCAGCCGAAAATTTTAAGCATTCTATGGAGGTGAACAAATGTTAACTACGTAAAAATCGAAAAATAATACGCAAAATGATATGATTTTTACGAAATTTTTAAAATGTTAACTTCAAATAGTGTTATACAGATTATTCATGACCATGGATTTTCGATATTTTTTGTAGTGACTTAAAAACAAATTATTACGATGAACCCAATATTGTATCAAATGTTCTAGCACTTTTGGAAAACCAAACTAATTTTGTTTATAAAAAATCAAATTAAAAATATAGGACATTACAAATAACTACAAAAAAACTCAAAAAAGGTTTTGATAATTGTCTAGAAAGGGCTAATTATCTGTTGACATTTTTAGGTCATCACAATAATTTTTCACGGGGAAAAATATTGAAAATACCAGAAACCGTTGTTGCGTAAACATTTCTGTTTGTCCGATGTTTTTCTCGCCCATTATTAAATTGTAATCACAAAGAAAATCAAAAAAAAAAAAAACCACCTCAATGCACAAACCAGAAAAATACTACATGCAAATCATTCCAATTGGCGAACAATTTAAAATGAACGTCCTTGAATAACCCAAAGCGTGCCGTTTTAATATAATATCTTTACATAATACCATATTTATTAGTATTGAAAAATTTAATTAAATTATTAATTGTACAATTATCCACCTGAAATTACGTACTTGCATTTATTTCACAGTCTAGTTACTATAGTATTAAGTAACGGTTTACAAAAAATGAAAACAAATTAGTTTACTATTCCGTAGTCGTTTTTCAATACTTAATGCAATCATTATCAGAAATTAATTTATTAAATCGGTGTAGAAATTTCGAAATATGTATAATTATATTAATTTGGTGAAAAGAAAGTGTGAACAGAGCAAATTACAACGAACAAAATGGATAGTTTTCCCGGTTCGGTGTGGCACGAAGAAAAATACCCAATAATTTTTTAATAAATGACGTGACGTCAATTTTTTGATATCTCTTGATAATAAACAGTAACAAATTAAACAAGGTAACAAAATATATTTAGATAATTTTTTTTTTTTAATTTCAAATTAAGACGTATTCGACTCACCACTGTAATCGTTCATCAGGATGTTGTAACTCTCGGTAATAGTATTGAACATCTTGGCAGTTGGTTGTATCGATAACAGTAAAATACTATAATCTATCTTGCCGATACGCTGAAATTAAACAGAAAAAAAAAACAAATCAGAATTCAGCTAACAGCAGTCATATAATAAATTTACTTAATTAATTATTGTAATTTTTGTTTCCTTCGCATTCTCGATTTGCATTATATAGTTGTCTAGTAACAATGCCTTATTATAATATATACAATATAATTACGACACTGGTGCATTACTTTCATTAGAAATATAATTTTGGATAATATTTGATTACTATATACTACTTAATATTAACTAAAAAGTTACCTTTTAAATTCGACATTCAAAGGTACTTTTCATTTCCATTTAACGCAATCATTTCTTTTGAACTTAAATCGTGTTTACATTTGTATTCGAAATATTCTAAATAAAATTAAATCAGTTTCTACATTACGCAATTCGGACGTCATTTTTGTTTTGTCATTACTTATCTATAATACCCACCTAAGTCCTAATACATCTATTTTATAATAATAGTTAATTAATATTAGCATATAGGAAACCTATACATTTTTCAAATGATTAAATTTGATCAACTCAACAGTTTTTGAATTCACCTTAAAATCAATTTACAACGTAATCCCGTTTCGTTAACACAATTTCAGGGGTCAGTGGATAAATATGATAAATAACAGGTGTTTAAATTTGTTAAATTAGCATAATATAACACGCAAAAACAACAAATGGTTTGGTAAACACCTTCATCAATTATGTATTTCCATAAACATATGTATTTTCATTTTGAAATTTGTTTACGCATTAGAAATATGTCAACTAATATATATATATGAATAAAATAGTAAAAAAAAAAAATTGTTAGTTATTACTGATCTCCTCAGTTATTAATTAATGTATTATCGTGAAATATACCTAAATGTTTTTGAAAAAATGAAGGTTACAGCTCAACTCATTCCATATTTATAGACTATTATATAGTAGAAGTATCAAAATTTCAGAACACATAGTAAAAAAATAAATGGCTTACAAATTTCATAACGTCTTCAATTAAAATATCTGCATGTACGGTATCAAAAGAGATATTAAAATCTTAGGATTAAAATGGATCCTTTGATTTTTATTTAAAAAATCAATTTTTAAACGATCTACGATCGGTTGTACACTATTTTCATTTATGCCGTGCAATCTTTTTAATATTAAATATTAAAACGCCGTGCGCCTCCACTAAATATTATTCAAATGAGCTCAAAATTTGAGAATATATTTTTTTATTTTACGGCACAAGATAGGCGGGTATCCCGAAAGAAATTTTAAAATTGGTAAAATAAGGATCACCCTAATTTATATAAATAGGAAAAATCATTGTTAAATTATTGAAAACAATTTTAAATTTTTTTTTTTTTTTACGATAGCAGCAATGGCCCAATCGGAATACAAATATTGTTAACAACTAACGAAATAATAGTGCGTGCCAGACTGTCGATCTATCATAGAGTATTACTAGTGGAGAGGAAACCTTAAATCAGGAAAATAATATATATGGAAATAATATTCGAGAATGCTATTTGTACGGAATGATGAAAACCAATCGTTCCTAGTCTACTATACGAACACCATTTCGGACTTATAATCGAAAATAAATCCCGACATGACGTCATGTAATAAGGGAAAATGTCTACTTTACGAAGTAACGACAACAGTTTTCAAACCAATTAATACTATTATTATTTTCCCGATAATTACGTTTCTGTACATTATTTTCCTGAATTTGCTACGTACCTATACTAATACTGTAGGTACTAGCAGTTACTCTGCGCAGCGTACCTCTAACCATGCCAGTTTTGCAGTAATCATGTGCGCCGTGTACACGGGTGCCCGGAGGCTTGAGAATCCGTCTAAACATTTTAGAGGTCAAAGCACCGTTGGGTATTAAAACGGAACATGTTTTTAATATACATATATTTACTATATTCTAATGAATTATTTAATTTTTACACTTTTGAACAAATTCGATACACCTAACCGATAATAAAAACCTGTAATGTTTATACAAGTATTGACGCTATCGTTACCACTGAGATTGTAACTTATTCCGACGGCTACAAACACCACAGATTTTATTTCAGATGATGATAATATCTTGCACATAGGTTACTTGGCTAATAGTAGCTATTTATGTATTTACATGTGAAGCATACTAATGAGTAGAAAAGGTATTAATGAAATTTAGGACACCAGTTCCAATTTTTAAAATCTGACGCCTATGATAATAATTTATAGCACTGTTTATACAATTATACCCCAGCGAATCTGCCGCTACTATCACTGCTACTGAATTCTAAAATTCGCAATTTAAACAATCAACAATGTATTCGACTAATTTCAAAACCGAATAAAAAATTGTTATTAAATAACTATGAAAACAAATCACTTTAACACAACTGTTTCGAATTACTGTCAATGTATCTGAGTTGATTTCCGAGTCGAAAATAACGAACTTAAGGTCCCGTTGGCAACGTCGCAGCGATATTTATGCGGAATCGTGTTTGCGCATAAATATTTGTAAATATAATCGACGGCGTGTCACTCTCGGGCGTAACTACCGGGGTAGAGGGGGAGATAAATTAAGGGGACGTGAAATTTTCACGTAGAATAAAAAAAAAACGTTTACAGAATTGCGTGTAAGATAAAAAGAATATCGTGTGAACTCACGTGCCTGTCCAGGGAGACGGATCTCTCCCGGCGGGTCCTATCTAATAATAATGTTCGGTGCGTATACCGATTATACATACCTACATGGTATGATACTATTTGCCATTTCATAATAATAATATTATTATTCAAGGTTAAATACCTACTATCGTAAGTACATAGACGATAATGTATTGTCATATTTTTCGTACGCGAAATTTGATATTTACGACAGACGGACGTCCAGATAATAATAATAATATTACATTATATTATATTATATTTGTATAAACTAATAATAAACCGAAACGTAATTGTTGTAGTAATATTATCTGAACTGTTTAAGAATTCCCTGGCGTCCTGTAAATTTATATTCCCGCCAGTACCCACAACAACGAAGATGATGATAACAATAGTGCAATATTCGAATTCGTACTCCTTAGAAAATATCCGAATAGAACCCCTTAAGGTGATTAGAAGCGGTGATTTTCTGTCTTTATCTTACACAAGTGTGGCATAGGAATTCAGACGTGTTCCATTTTCGACGTGCCGATTGGTCTAGTGGAGCGATAAGAATTCTGAAAGCGGATTTGGATTTACCGTCAAGTCTACTTAAAGTCGAAATTCTCACTATTTTGATTTTTGATTTTTCTCACTATTATATTATTATTTCTCCGGTAGAATTAGAATATTCTATTTTTTTTAATTACTTCTTTTTTTATTATGGTTTTTTTTCAGAATTTACGGGAGTTAAATTAAAACGTGGGTAAATCGATTTCAAGTACAATTAGCGACAAATTCAAATTTCGTTTCGGGATTCGTAGCGCTTCACTAAACCGATCGGTGCGTTTCAAATAGAACACGTTCAAATTCCTATTTTGTAAGCGTGTATGACAAGAACAGAAAATCACCGCGTCCAATTCCCTCGATTTATGTTACCGGATATTGTCGTTTTCTTGAAAAACCTTCTTACATGTATGCTAAAGTGTTTTTCTATCTCAAGTGTTTTTTCAATTTTACATAGGACATTTTCTAATGCCGATTAATGTCACATAGGATATTTTTAATCACATAAGAGGTATTTCACAAACGATTCAACGTAAATCTCGTACATGAGAGGTTTTGTTTTTTAATTTTTTCTTTCAATAATTCTTTCATGAAGATAGTACATATAAGAGATACTATCATACGACAGTTTATTTTTTTCGGAATCCAGGGCTATAAAAACCTCGACATCGAAAATTGTGCACACATAAGGCTTTTTATAAACGATATTGTTATAACCGCGAATCGCGCGCGAAGATGAGGTACTTATAATATTTTATTTTATTTTGTGTAAAACAAAAAATAAACGAATGCCTATAGCAATTATACTACTTCGGGATATTTTGGTAAACTGCGTGCGCAGCGAGGGCCGTATGTTATCTAGAGCCCGCCGGATATGTTAAGTACGTGCCTGCAGTGTAGAATCTCTATATACCTACTATATAGTATTATCTTTGGTGATAAGAACGCAAATAAATTCATATATTAATTAAAGACGTCATTTTTCTGTTACTCAACCTCGGCCAGAATAACGTAATAGGTACAACAATATTAAAACCGTATTACTAAGCAAAACAGCGTTTAATCGTCTGTTTAAATCTTAAGTTATTGACGAAATTTGCTATACGTTACGAAAATAAGGAATCTTAAATTCGACTCTTTTTTTTGTTTTTTTTTTGTATGAAGATCGGGTATCCGGTTTGAGTGGTTTGATCTGAATATTTTCGTCGCGTACTATTAACGATCCCGTACAAAAAGGAATAACACTATTTGAGTCCCGGGGTTCTCTTGAGCACTCCGGTATAATTATGTAGGCTTATCGATTACGTATTGTCGATTTAACATAAACGATTACGTTTTAACTTTGATAATATTGTTTTGTTTCGTTACGTTATATCTATACAAACACAAGTATTGTCATATTGTAGTGTTGACGATCACCCAGTCGGTTTACCAATACCGTAATAAATATATTTATACTCAACATTTTTTATCTATAACAATTACAAAATTACAAAATGCGTACAGAATAATAATATTATAACAAGGAAAACGATATTTTTAATAGACCTAAGTAGGTCCTTAAGTCTGTGTAAAAATGGGAAGGGAAATATTGTTTCGACGCAATTAGTATGTACACAACAAAAAATCGGTACGCAACTAGTGTCAACCAAAAAAATAACAGGGACGCAATCGGAAAGAAGTAATTGTTGTCGTGAAACGCAATTTGTATTTTGTATGATGTCAAAAATTGATAAATTCGGAAAAGACTCACGGAAATTATTAGGAATATTTTTAATGCATACGATGCGAAATTTTACCAGAACATACATTTCCTTGGTACTTTCTTTTATGAAAAAGTCGAAAGGCACGAAAAAGAACTTTTGGTATTTAAGTTTTCGAGACGAAACTCGGATGCGTCACAAGTATTGACCCGTTTTTTATAGGGTTCCGTAGCCAAAACATCAAAACCGAAACCCTTGGAATTGCATTATGTCCTACCTGTCCATCCGTCCGTACGCGACAGACTTATAACTCTGGCATTTTTCCATAGATTTTGATGAAATCCTAAAGAACGGTGTCTTGTAATACGTAAACCGCTGTACAATCGTGTAGTCTAAATATAATTTAAGGGTAGTTTTTTTTATATATATATGTACATAAACCGAAGGATGCAAATTGTATTTTTCTTGCATGGTATCGTTGGATAGATTTTTAAAAATGCAATAATTACTTCATATCTCATTGTCGCAAACTTGGCAGTATTTGCGAACATTGCGTACGACAAAAATGATCGATCACATCACTAGGTACCTATAGTGTTAACTAGGTATTCGGTAGTCATCTTACCACTTTCGCCTGACCTCACGTCCGGATTTCTAACACACGTTGTCGTCGTCGTCGTCGTCGTCACTATTACAAAATACACCACGACGACGGACTTGCGTTTTTAATTTTTTTTTTCTTCGCCATTGTTATTCCGCGACCGATCGTTACATGTATTATTATTGTCAACGCAATCGTATTAACTTCGGCATAGAAAAATCATTATTTTAATTTTATATTATTATTATTAGCGTTATTATATTAATTTCGATGGTTTATCGGGGTTTTATCCGCTGCAGCCTTGGGTGGACTGCGCGCAGACCACATACGCTTGCACAACGACCGTACGGCAAACAAGTCTTGAGCGAATTCGCGAGCGGCGAACGTTTTCAATGTTCGATAACATAAAAAAGTATTGAATATGACGTTTACTCTATTTGTTCAGTACCTAACCTAGCTGGTCGTGCCTATATAACAAATATAATAAAAGCAATGAAATAATATAATGAATAGCGATGTGAAATGTGAATATTCTTACTCGACGGCGTGAATAGAGAATAGAAATTATAAAATAGTCAGCGCAGATATACAAAAAAAAAATTATATAGAGTGGTTACCGTGGTCTTCTCTATAGCTGGTAACATCGGTATAATGTAACGGCCGTTAGCGTTTGAGCATTCAAACGTTAACACATTCTGCGTTGTTATAAACGTTTTGTCACTCGCAAATTTGCTCCGTATAGTAATATTATGGGTCGGTTTCACTAAAAAATACACTAATCGTGATTCAGTGTAACCAGGCAATTTTTTTTTACAGAGAAATTTAATCATGATTAATTTCATTTGGATTTCAACATTATAATCACGATTCCACAATGTGCACATTCCGCTAATCGTGGTTATATTAACCGTGATCGGCCTCATTAATCACAATTAACATCAGCGTTCGCAGTATAATATTGTATTAATATACTGTGGCGTAACCAGGGTGGGAGAGGGGTAGGGTTTTTTATTTGGGTGTCAAATATACACTTTTATATACATTAGTGTAAAATCTATGTAAAAAAAAAAATTTGTACACTTTTTGTTAAGCTTATTTATAAGCTATTTTATAGATAGTATGTCTCATTCGACCCCAAGTCGAATAAGCTTTTACACACGTATAATGTGATATTAACCATGATTCAAATTATGACCTCAGAAGCCACACTACTGGTATTTTTAAATTAATTTTATATAGGTATTAAGTGCCTACTGACACAATTTATAATCGATTTTATGTTTTCATGTTTTTCTTGAAAAATTTAGGAGGAAATTTGAGTAACCTGTAATCTTTTTTTTTTCTCTAATTCATTTTTCTCGTGATATGGTTTCAGTGTGTCCATATTTTAAACATATTCTACGCGGCCGGTTAACAATAACGTTACCATATTTGTTGCATGATGCATTGGGAGCGCTTAGTGGATTTTTACATTAAAAAAAAAATAGATATTTTTCCCACGCGAAAACAGCAGTTTCGCTGAAATGTTGTCACGAAAATACAAATAATAATAATAATAATAATAATGGGAAACTAAGACCCGGTTATTCGTTCGAGCATAACGTTCAAAACACTATATTCTATACGAAAATTAAGTCGCATATTGACAACGAGAGTTGGCAGTGAAACCGTACCACCTAATACCACGATGACAGCATAAAAAAGTTGAAAATAAAATAATTTCACGACAATAATACGAATTTTATTATTTTTATCCACGGTGACTCTTCCTACGACATATGTGGGGTGGTAATATTTCTCCCCGTTGGCATAATAAAGGATAACAATTTTACAGTAAAATCAATATAAATGAAATATTATATCCTATTATCCTATTTTAACTAGAAACCGTCATTCCACGTTAATTATTCTGAGTCTGTTGTTTTTTATTTGTAATAGCACTTCACTGCGTTTTGTGGAAATCATTCAATTTAAAACAAAAAAGTAAAAATTATTTGGTGGCAAAGGCGCTCGTGGCTTATCTATTCATAAACAAAACAATTTGGCTTCGGGGAAACAAACAAAGGTAGCCGAATTAATAAATTTCACTATAAAACGCTATAATCTTGCTACAGTAACGGCCACCTTTATATAATGAACACTTTTTATAGTCCCTTAAGTGTCTCTTATAGGCATGTTTTATTGTATACATAAAGAACTTAAGGATAAGGAACTTCGGTATCGAATAATATTTAAATGATTCCGCGTTCTACTATTCAAAAAATATCCAAAGCATAGATATATATCACAAATATCTGATAATAAGGCTATGTATTTTTATACATTTAAAAAAAAAACCATTCGTAGTGGCCTAAGCCATTCGTTTTTCTCCCCTTCTAGTAGTGGCAGGCCTTATCTGAGTGCGAAATACGTAATTCTTTGTTTTAATTATTAACATATAATATGTTTATTGCATGTTTTATTAATAGATCAAATTATACAGTTGAAATTTCAAATTCTGTCCTTCCTATTCGGTAATGCAAATATTAGTACATAATATGTAGGTTACAAACCGGCGCGACCAGTTGTTGTCACCGTTTTGATAAATTTGTTTTTCATACCACGAAATCATTTCAATAAATTATCGATTATAATACTATTACAGATTGAGGAGGTTTTTATGACGGCTAGGTGGACTACAACTCGAAATATCTGGAAAATAACTAGTTTTAAATAAAAGTAGGACGGATTCTAAAATCTTTGGCTTCGGTATTCATGAAAAAAAAGCTACCAGCGATCACGAACACCGGATTACGACACGCGCGCGCACTGAATTAATGTTCGATTTGACCAGACGAATACGAAAATCTCCGTGATACCTCCGAGATTGATTAAATAATCGTAATATCCCTTTTGTTTATAAAAAAATAAATTGTATTTATTAACGGATTAATGGATACATTCGTAGTGTAGCAAATACGATATTTTGTTTGTGTAGTAGTAAATGTAAACGTTAAAATGATTTTATATTCTGAGCGCAGCGAGAAACGGATTTACCACGATGCGTAGATGTGTGTTTTTATTTAATTTTTTTGTTTTTTAACAACATTTCTATTAGAAATATTACTCCGATTTTTAAATGCAACCTATTACTGAAAGCAGTTTGTATATATTTGATGTATTTAATAGGTAATTTTTTAAACTTTACCCGCAGTTTTCTAAATAATAGGAAAGAACGTATAGAAAACCCCGACGAATTTACACATTTGTATTGTGTACTATTAAACAAATAAAAAATTATAAATAACAAATTTTAAATGATAAAATTCAAATGCCAGAAATTAAATAAAATGTGAATCTCAGTTTTTTCTGGTAAGTATGCAATGTAATGGTGCTCCCCAAGCACCAACTATGATATTCAGTGATAACACAGGGGTTGAAAAATCATTCGCCCCCAGGTAAACGAATATTTGGTAAAATGTTCAAAACATTCTGGCGATTTTCGAACTATTTATAAGTAATTAACATTTCAATCGTAAAGATCACGATAGGCATTTCAAAACATGTTTAACCAAACTTTACCTAGAATCGTATTTTAAGAGGAATGATTTTTCATTGCATGCTGTAGATGTAAATTATATAAGTTCAATTTTTTTTACGTCTACGGAAATTAATACATATTTAATCAAATTCTCTGCGTGTGTGGCAAATTACCTGAACTGATGAGTTAGCACAAACGGTATAAGAATCACTGGGAAAAAAAAACCAAAGTTCAAAAACACATAATACTGCATAAAATGTATACGATTTTTTTTTAAAGCGAAAATTGTATTTTATGAATTTTATTACCTATAAGTATGTACCTATACGTGTGTATATATGGTATGAGTACCATTGTTACCGAATATAGCTGTGAGGTATATGGAACTATCGAGAGGTATAAATTGTGTGCAGTCATATTAAGGCAACTCACGACTCATCGAGTACCTGTACTATACAGTAATACGCTGCTGAATTCGTACGTTTTACGAATAAAAATGTGTTTCGTATACAGAATGATCGGAATTTTTACAACCATTCCCTCGTGTATACGTATATTTATATAGGTGTATGTATGTACCTATCTATTTTTTTCCTGTTTATAAATAAATCAAAACTTATAGACGGTTTAATTTTCGATTTTTTTTTTTTCGTATGCACGTAGTATCACAGTATGGTTAAGTGCGACTACATTATTTATTATAATATATAGGATAAATGGTTTTAATAGGTAAAATGGTATGTCTATAGAAAAAAAAATACGGTTCTGAGAGAAATTACAGATGTTTTTAAATGACGTAATTTTTACGATTTTGTCGGAATTTGAACTTCAATTGTTTATGAAAATAAATTTACGCTCAATATTTTTATATAATAACAAATACAACTTATAATGAACCTCGTATTAAATTTTCAAACATTTCCGACTGGTCAAAGCAGTTTTATCAACATAAAACCAAATAACAACTAAAACAAACTGGAAAAGTCAAATACTTCCAAAAGCTCAAAAATCACCAGACTGTTTTGAAAATTTCACCACGTCTAGCAAAGGTTAAATATTCCGTGAAATTTCTGGCCTCGACGATTTCAATTATTTTTAACCGTACATTTGTCCATTTTCCCTATACTTTTTTCCAGTTTTTCTCAACTATTATGAAAATTACTTGTCAAATCAAAAAAATAACCTTATTAATATACAAGCTAGATACATTTAGCTTTCAGAAAAGTTCTCGTCATTTTTTGATTGGAGAAAGATTTTTGGTAAAAGTGTCGTTCACGCACGGCATAAAGACCAAAAAAAAAAACACACGCAATATCTTAGTAAAATTAAATACCAATACATTCACCACTATGCTTAGAATCTAAAACAACAAGGTATACAAGTACAGGTGCCTAACACCCGCGGAGTAGAGAACGGTAATTTACTATGACGTATAACCGATTCACGTGTTAAATACCTATTACTATCTATATGTCATGAAATTATTATAATATATACAATAAGTATACTACTGTCATAATATTATATTTTGATGATTGTCTCGCGAAGAAATAATTATCATAATATTTTTTTTCAATAATAAAACATTGTTGTGCAGGTACGCGTTGAAACATAATCTTAATGAATAACATTATACAGAGTGATCAACATAACGTAATACACTCATTATCTCGGAATGTATTAGATTTTTTAGGAATTCATTTTTTTAGAACATTTAAGAAATAATCAACTCTAAAATGTTACAATACTGTTCTTTTTTGTTACCTTTTTGTTTTTTCGGAGGTAAAATCGCTACCCACTTTGAATTTTCAATAAACAATATAATACAGTAAACATTTCATAAATAGATGGAGTTTTTGTTTGAATACATTTTTGCATTGAAATTTTTTTATTTCCATCAATAAGTCAACGAAAAACTAAATTTGCATATTTTTTATGGCGTTTTTCAATATAGGTTGCAGCTGTTTATAAACTAAAATTGAGCACAAGGTCTCGAAAATAAGGATGAAATAAAATAACGGTAATGTGATATTTTAGAACCGATTGTTTCTAATGAGTTCTAAAAAATACATTTCAAAAAATATTTAATACTTTTCGAAATAATGAATATCGTACATTATGTTGATCACTCTGTATGTGTACGTGTAATGTGTACCTATACCCGCAGCAGTGCAGCGCGTCTATAACCTCCGCGATCTCGTACTTGTCGATTCTACGAGCGTAACGAGGAATTTACTCGTATTTCGGTTTTATTATGATGTGTGGCTTTTTTTTTTCTTTTAAATTACAGAAACGTTAATTGATAATATCAGCTCGGAATATATTATTGCAATTCGCAGTGTTTTTCCAAAACGATTTATACTAAGGTACCTATTATTGTAGTTGTAATCACAAACGTATAAACAAGCCGGTTGGACGTTGTCGTCGAAACAATATAATATTATTGTAGACACAGCGTATTAGTACTTAGTAGTTATAACGAATCGGTTACTTTTTAACGCTGATCCGTGTCGACTATAATTTTATATTATAATCGAGAAAAGTTTTCACAGTGTTTATTTAATCGGAACCTACACGAATTAGCGTAAAAAAATAAATAATAATAATAATAACAATAAAAACACCTTGATCTATGTATTATATTTTTTGCGTATTATGTAAATATTATTTAAATGTTCGGGTTGATATGTCTCGACGCAATTGTAACTATTTGTTTGTTTGCGTGTTTCCTTAAACACTACAATATAAGGTAAAGAAGTAAAAACAAAATAGCATTATAGTACAATACTATGACACTTATCGAACGAAATATATTTCTTGTACCCAGCCACAGGTATAATTCCAGTTTTAAATTTACACCCATGAAAATACGGACTGACGTGCCGGAAGAAAATTTAAAATGTTTGGATAAGGATAACTGGAGGAGCAACGTACTAAAATAGATAGTTACAATGTGTGGTGAAGTGTAGTGATGGCGGCAAAACTCGAAACTTATTCTCTTCTCTTAGAATACCTATGTGCAAGTAATTTAAATGTTCATAACTATCGGGATCCAAACGATTTTATGCCCACTTGCACATTAGCATTAAAATTATTGAATTTTATTTAAAAACTTAAAAAACAATATTTCTATTATTTTTTTTATAAAAACCATCAGACATGTAATATTAGTATGTACTCGTATTACCAATACTAATGTCAAAACAAAAGCTGATACTATAAGCGACGGTTATAGATGAGAGTTGGAAAAGTAGAATATAAAAGTAATTCTATTTATATTTGTATGCATTAATCAAACATTATTAACCAAAAACGAATCTGATTAAAGTTCTGAGCAGTTAAAAATTCTGCGATTTATACAATTTTTATCAATATTTGAACTTTAATGCTGGTAAATGTTTTATAATCAAATCAATATATTCCTAGTTGTGTTTAAAATCGAATAAATTAAATGATTATATAAATTGTATTTTAGATTCTAAGTGGAACGAAGAAACTTATGGTTTTACAAATATGTTTATTTATTTTTTCTTTTACCAGAATACTCGCTTCCATTTTTATGTGTAGTAACTTTTCTGAAAGGAAATCGGTGTGGGGAGGTACTTTAGGGAGGTCGTTTATCGATTTTCTCCAGAGTTTTCCCAGCAAACGTGAAAAACTGAGGAAATACATGGGAAAACCGGGGAAATCGGTACAAAATTAAACAAATATTATTTAAAAAAATATATAAAGCCTATTTAATTATTTTACTATAATATGGCATATATATTGTTGACGATGCATTACTATCAACCGAACTACGATCAAAATCATTTGTTCGTAAGTAATGGTTTATCGTTGCTTACATGTATACATTAAATTACCTATAACAGTGGCTGCACCCGTCCCCATTATCCTAGGACGTCTTTTTTAGTTTTTATGTTTAAAATGTTTAGTTGCATGCAAGATTATAATATTTTAGTACCGCGTATTTATTTAAACATACTTTTTGGCGGAAAAAACCAATAGACGATAGAAATACGGGATGGAAAGGGTGTGCGATAATACGATGACCCTTGGAGACTTAAAACCAGAAAAATAAGAAGAATACTTTTATATGAGATCTGGATTTTCGTCGGTGTTTACAAAATATACAAATTATAAAATAATCGGACTGAACAGAAACATAATCACGGTCAGAAGTTTATATGCATACGGTGATGACTGATGATATTACAAATTGCAATATATATTATGTGCATGTACATTGTGTGATGCTTTCCTAATCTGTTCCAGACAAACGCTACAATATAGAATGTAATTTAATTTTTAATTTTTTTTTTTTTCTTATAGTAATTCTAAAAGTCACAATGCCATTAACCTTGTACAGCCGTATTGGCATAGGTACCTTTATGCGTACCAGTTTACCCCGGCCTGAACAGTACATACCGACGACTCGTTACACGAGACGCATACGGGAATTCCGCGGACGGAAAAACGAAAATAATCGGAATGTATACGGATTCGACAACGAATTTTTCGAGGTCAGGAAGTTTTTCCGTGACCAGTGATGGTTCTATCGCATATAAGCTATAAGGTGTTAATCAGTAGCGTGTATATGATTTTCCCAAGAAGTGGGGTATTGCATTCTGAAATTAAGTCATAATATATTCAATGTTGTAAACCGTACAATTATCACTGAAATCAAATAACTAAGTATAAATAATTTACTTATAATTATTATGCTGAATGTAATATTTTTAATACTCAATTAAATTTGTAATAAACCGCAGGAATACGACAAAATGCGATTATCAGTTCTAAATGCAGTGTTTAAGAAATTCCTCTATTCTAGACGAATAAAAACATATGATTAATTAGGCAGGTCATTTGCCGCTTTAAAGCACCACACTTGATTGTCCATGTCAGTCGGGTGGAAGGTATCATATTTGAGAACGCCGAAGGCATACAAGACGCTGCCCGCGTACTTTCTCCCCGACTTCTCTGGACTCACACAGCAGAAGCATATTTTTTTGTTCGTTCGTTCTATCTTCCTAATTTTTACATAGGCTTCTACCTAAACTATTAACCCGATACAGTAAATGCAGAGCTGAAGACAAACTGCTGTGCATAGTATTCCTATCCACACTTTACGTATAATTGATATGTATAGTTGCATTCTATCGTTTTATTTATACCATACATTAAATCGTGTTTATTTCTCTCAACTAACCGTTTATTCAGTTTATTCAGTTTATTCCAAGTTAGCGAGTGCTACCTAATTGGCATACTGGTCCTCTCGAGGTTATTTTGAAGTAAAGTTTGCAACTTGCCAACGTAACGGCTTACATACATATGAGAAGTTAACGAGTGCTACTCAAATAAGGCCTTCTTCGAACGTATTGCATGTCGGTACCTTACATAGCGTCTGGTTTATCTGCCTTGAGCTCTTAGTAAAGGGTATCACGTATTATTTGGCTTTTGAAAATAAGTGCGATTTGCAACGATTTATTGATACTCACACTCCAATATTATCCTCCTTTTCTTTGAGCTTGGATATCCAAGCAGATCAAGTGGTAAAGGTAGGTGGAAACTATGTGTATTCATACTCGTAATAGGATAGATTGGGGCGTTTATTAGAGTCAATGATTCATATTTAGTACGTACAAAGTGTATACGTTTATAAACGTTTAAACGCCATACATATTGAATAAATGGTCTAGTTATGTAAACACAGCGCGAGTATTTCGATTCATTAATAAAAACCGACTAAATTTAAAAGATTAAATATTATTTTTATTTACAAATGAATGCACGCTGCCAACGCTCTCACAGCAAAGTAATACTCGCGTTCGCCGATTATAATAAGAATGTTTATATTACTCCGCTAACTAACACATTATTCGTAACAAAACAGCATTATGTAGATTAGAATAATGTACATTTACATCTTTTATATAATAACAAAAGTTAACATCAATAACTAATAATATTATTTACTTTATGTGTTAGTTTTAGGTGCTAATCTAACCCATTTCGTCTGGATAAGTTTCGTTTTAACCAGGAAATGTATTATGTATACGTTCAGGTTTATTTGATATAATATTTGCTATAGATACCAAATCCTATCTGACTAAAAAGTAAATAAACTTGAATTAGGTATAGTCATATAAACAATACAGGTAGATACTAAAAAATGGCAAAGGAGGAAATGTATATCCCTCCTGATTTCCTCTCATAAATATGCAACCGGTATTGCTTCAACAACTCTTTTTCTTTTTGGTGAGTGTTAAAACTTCAGTTTGTAAAATTTTGAAATAGATTTCATTGCTCTCTGAACAACAATATTTAACTTATTTATGCATATGAGTGATAGTCGTTTTCAGTAGTTTGTTCGCAACAACGCTTTTAATTAAAATGATAGCCCACTCCGAGTCGTGATGATGATGACGGGGGTTTAGGTTAGGACAGGGGCTGTTTTTTATTTATTTATTTTTTTTTATCGTTTAATAATAATATATCCTTAAGACCGGTAGTATAAATATAATATACTTATAATCGAAGACTGTGAATTTATGGCAAAGGTATTTATTTTTTTTTTTTTATCAATTATTGTAAGACGTAACTTTCTTACATAGAGTACAAATTGATAACTTTCATTTTGCTTTTTTTGCTTTTTCACTCTTATTAAATCAACATAATGTAAATATATTATTTATCTAGATTCAATAATATTGTAGACACATTAATTTATCATATTTTCAAAAAACTTATACGTGTATACATTTTGAGCGCCGGTATTTTGGAATTTTATATGGTTTTTGTCGGGGTTTTTTAGTACATCAATTATGCAGTCCGCATAATTATTACATTTTTGTTGTTTTATCAGGGCCGCTGTTTTTTCACCGATTTATAAAAATATATTAATAATTCGTTTCAGGACAACATAAAAAAACCGCCTTCTCACCGTATAAATTTAATCGCGCGCATAAAACTCCAACACAATCGCATTCGATCATAAAACCCTTTGTCGTAACATATATAATACCGCGGACCCATTCCGAATCGACTAGGACATAATATAACTACGATTGTTATCGTGAAACATTTAAATAATTGCACGTTTACCGTGTCGGTGATATTCAATCGGTAAACAAAAAAAAAAAAATTCTATACAAAAAAAACTCCGGGAAAGTGTTTTTTTTTCTGCTTGGTAGCAAAATTAATTTTTTAAATATACAATTTTTGTCTGTCTGCAAACAACTCTCCGAATAGAAAACTTGTTCCAATCGGAAAATTAAAAGAGACCTTTTCAAGTAGTTTTTTTTAATTTTCCACGTAGTTTATAATTGAGCAAAATATATATAACATACAAAAACAGGAAATATTTCGAAAATAATGATATTATTATTTTCAATTTTTTTTTTTTTTTCTTATAATTCAATTAAAAATATTCGTAGAAACTAGAGACTTGACATTTTGATAGAAAACTTATATTTGCCTTTTTTAGAAATGGTAAAATGTTCGAAATATTCTGAAAATATGTTTGGCTAATTTATAGGCATTTTATAATTTTTTTTTCTAGTTTGTTTACGCAGTTTTTCTTTAGTAGGTTTTTTTAACTGTGGAATACAAACTTAATAAATACATAAAAACTATACTTAATATTTTACGGATCTGTACCATAGTACTACGCAACTGAACGACACACAACCCGAAGACATGAAAACGCAATGCAATTTAATACCGATTGTCTTTGCTGATTTACGTGAATAATAATAATAATATATAATGCGCGTGTTGCAGTTCGGTAGATATAATGATATACTTATTGTTACGGTATATTATTAATATATCAATAATTTTATTATAGTGGAGAATATAACCTAAGATCAGTGAGTTGTATTATATTTTAACCGAGTCGAATGTTCGGAGGAGAGAACTGCACTGCAGTCGATAAAATATTGGTACCTACATAATATAGCTTATAATATTAGCAAATCGAAAGTAATTAAAAATCGACCTAAACGCATGTGTAACGGAGACGAACGTACAAATTCCCGGCGGCTCGCGTGCACAATTATTTTGGAACGTGAACATACTGTATAAAATAACGAATAACGAATAATAATAATAAAATCTCAGTTCACCGTGACACAATAATAATAATATAGTTTATACGATAACCGCGTGGTATGTACGGCATACCTATATATTATATTATTAGGGTAAGAGCAGTTTGTATTCGCTATTTTTTAACCGCGCGCAAAAGATATTATGTATAACACGTGTAAAAAATGTATGAGCGTGTGTCTAATTAATTTATTTATTTTTTTATGCGATTCGACCGAGTTTTAATTTATGAAAAAAAAAAAATATAAAAAAAAAAACGCTGATCAAAACCAGTTTTGAGCGAGCAATATAATATTCTACATATGTAGGTAATATTGATATTCGTTCGGCTTGTTTAATGTACGCGTAGCTATACCTACCTATAAGTATTGAGCAATTTAACGTCGCGGCAGTAATTACTTTTGGGATCAAGGATGGCATTATTAGTATATCCTTTGGCCTTGGAAGAAAGTATTGATTAACCGCTCAACCGCCGCCGCCGCCATCGTCGTGTTCATGTATGTGTAAACAAACTAATATTATACATATCTGCAATAGTACATTTCGATGCGAGTCGTCGCTATGTGTAAAAATGGAAATTAGTGATAATAATAGTAAGTATGTAGGTATTATTATAGGCACCGGTTTTTTTTCGTCGTTCATCAACCTCTGCTGCCGGAGAACACGAAAAGCTGAATTTTTTTATTAATAGACAATTTCTCTAAATAGAAATAAAGATTAACAAAGAAAAAAGCCGTTTCGTATGCGTTTATACAAAAAATACCTAATAAAATATGTACACGATCCGAATACGCGATTGAAAACTCGGAAAAATAACGATCACGATTTTTTCGGTTGAATCAAAATTATTGCGTATATTAGCGATCGGTTGTGTACACGTCAGCCTACATGTTGTTAATAGGTTCGTAGAAAATATGTCAACAATTTCAAACCCAGTGCACACTGAAGTACCTGTATAATAATTATTAGGTATTGTTTTACAACAAATTGATAATTTCTGAAAAGTTCCTCCGTGCGATTACGTTTCTCGACTATTTACCTGCGACGTTAAGGTTAATTCGATAATAGTGTTATTTTTCTTAAAGAGATATTCGCTATCCAAATGGACACAAAATAAAGTCTGTTATAATTTATAGGACACGTCGTGTAAAGAATGATTTTGCTTACTGTGTATCCGCTAGAAAATAATAATAAATTAACTGTCGTTATCTTGCACCCGCTCGCGATACGTCGTTCATTAGTGGCATGTATAAATTGTACATTTTTGAAAAATGGACAATGAATTGAACTACAATAGTATGTATGTTAAATGGGTACCAGTACGGTAAATTGTATTATAGTCGATTCACAGTTGGGATTCGAGATTATTGTGCAGATTTTCAACTGTCTTACAAAAATATATTTAAACGTCTATTTCTTCAATTTCTACAATATCATTATAACTATAATAGTACCATAGTAAGAAAATACAATTGGAGAGGTTTTTATAATAAGTCATTCTTATAAATAGATAAATACGTTTATTCAGATTCTTAGTGATTATATACATATTTTTTTTTTACTTTCAGTTAGTCAAAAAACTATAAAACTTTCACTCAATCTTAAAAATTAAAAGATGCGGATTTTTCGCCCGGTAGTAATACTATTTTAATTGAAACATACTTCAAATTCTCAACAGTTTTTCTATAAAAGGTGAACGAATGGGACAAAACGTCAAAATCGGATTAAAAAATCACTGACATTTATGTACGAGGACTCAGTGTCTCACACTTGAATTTAGACTTTCTTTTCAACTTTACTCACAATTGTAGTTTTTCTATTTTTATCGTTACATTTGGCACCTATTTAAAAACATAATTATTCTATATGATTTATAAACTTCTCAATTACAACAGGGCCTCGAGTAACAATGAGAAGTTTATTGGTATTAAGTCCATTCTGTTGTTTTGATGTTTTGTTTACATTGACTTTTTATTCGACCACCTACTCGATATGAATAAATTGAGGGGTCTGCGCACCGTCTATTTTTTTGCCCAAAGCATGCTTTACAGAAAAAATTGCATTCTTCGTAGAGTCGATTTGAATTAATTTTGATAGGGAAAAACTTCTTACTGGGTGCATTGGATTTGGATTTGAGAAATTTCATTTACCAATAATATTATAAGAGTTTAGTTAAGATCAATTTTCCCCATTTTTAACTCACTTTTCTTTTTGTGGTTTTTGTTACGTACAACAAATATCAAAGTCAAACGTGCCCTGTTATAAGTTTTGCACTTTCTAAAAAATAAAATATATTCCATATCACTCTAAGACGAAGCATTCGAATTTTGTATAAAAAAATAAAATCGATTCAATTATTTTCCTATTAAAATATAATATTAAAACGTTTCAGTATCTACAGTAAATACTTATAATGTATGATTATAACGATTGCTATCAATTTGTAAAAAACCATAAGCCAAATCATAATTAATAGATTACGAAATTTATTTTTCTTTTTTAAATGCCCGCAGAAGAACGATCTAGTACAAGTGTGTTACGTTTTATGAAAAGCGACGACTATATTATGTACGAAATCTTTGAACAAATAACGTTTATAACGTGACTCTGCAAATCTCTTGTTCCTATACACACTCATCTGCTATTGAATAAATATTAACGAAAATACAATACTATTTTTAACCAATCGATTGCGCAATAATTGGTTCACTATTTGCTTATTATTGATAATATAATAGACATATAGGTACGTGTGTGTTTGTTCGCAGTATAAACATTATAAAAAAAAGTGTAAGTACTTACCCATCGAGTTAAAGACATCGTGGCAAAAATGTGAAAGTCCGTTAACTCTCCGCGAGACTACAATAATAATATTATTATTCTTTTTAAATACTATTATTCATAGATAATCTGCGCGCATGTTTTTTTTTTAAACGTTTCCATAATTTATTGTAAATAATTGTAACATGTTAGGTTTGAATCAAAAATTATTTTTTTTCACCAAAACCTACTCGAATACAAAACAATACTTAGAACAAAGTCGTTAAATCGAAAATGTAAGACAATTAAAATTACTTGAACGAAAACCATATTGACACGGTAAGAAAACGAATTTATATGCAATAAAACAATTTTTTTAAACATGAAACATATTATATATTTCTAACAAAAATGCGGTTATAAATAATCATGTGTTAAAAATACAGCTAGGTATAATGCATTTGAAAATAATTAATTTAAATTATAATAATATTACAAAAACGATTTCTGATAAAAAAAAATTCAAGAAATGGCCATTCAGAAAAAGTGCTACGCTTGAAAACCGGAGCAACATTTCTGGTAGAAAAGTTTTCATGGAAAAAAAAATAAACATCATTGTAAAACCAATACATTCCTCGTTCTGCTTAGAATCTAAACAACAGGATTTGATCATCTTTATTACCTCAGGAGATATTGCAATAGGCATATTTTCGTGGGACACCTTTTATGTTAGCACCAATGTCGGAAATTCAGACAATATACCGGTAATGTGGTCAATCAATGTTCCATATTCCCAAGGCCCGTGGTCGTTGCAGAAATCTATACGACTCATAATTCTAGATTTTATTGCAGTAAAATCTCGTTTGCCACGAAAAACAAATCTCGAAAAACGAGTTTCCAACAGGATTATATAAATAATGAAATGATACTTATATGGGTACTGTCGTATGACTATGTCATTGGATCGGATCGGTAAAGAAAAAGAAACATCGGCGTATTTGATATTATATATTATGGATAATACTGTATTTATTATTATTACCTATATTATTAACTATATGAAAAAAATTAAAATGAATAAATATAAATAAATAAATACAAATATAGGTTATAAAAAAAAAATATCATTGCCCAACGTCAGTGAGACGAAATTTGTTTATTTATAAATAGCACGTTGTTAGTGCTACAATAAGGCTCAATACAGCAATATCAAACAAAATACTCGTACTGGTTTATGGTTATAATATTATCCGCGTTATATTAGTATTTATTACTTAATTTGTTTTCATAATAATATTAATAGTATTATTATTATTATTATTCCGTCGACCGTGAACTATGATTATATTACGTGGACCGTAATCGTAAACAAACTTTTCTGGTCACGATTAAAGACGAAGATAGTCAATCTTCGTTTCTATGTCATTGTTTCAGATAATATTTTGCATCGCGTGGACCATAAATATAGTAGTGTGATCCTTGCGGTTAGGTTACAGCAGAACAACAGGGCAATGGGGTTAGGTTATAAATGGGATACGATGCCTCTGCGATTTTCAAAAGGTGGGTTGTCAACTAGGAAAAAAATTGTAATGTACTTAATATATTCTGCTCTATTAGTAAACCATATTAAATGTAGACAGGTTCCTGATATTCTGAATATCTGCTGTTTCGGTCCTGTTTATGTGGAATTTTCGCCGAAATTATTAGAGACCTATATTTGACTGTATTGTTTCTGCCTCTGCAGTTATACATATTTTTCGTCCACTAAACGTAATCACAATGATGGTATAATAATAAAGTGTTGTTTAATAATATTTTTTTTTTAAATGTGGTTCTGTTGAAAAATATATCAAAGTTATGTCTTTGTGTATAAATAATAAACCTATGTTATTTTAATGTATATACAGATTATCGGCAGTAACGCTATCGACTTTAGTGTACAATTACAGAACATTATTGATAAAGAAAACCAAGATAAGGGTTATTCTTTCTTAATAGGAGATATGAGCGTTGACATTATAGGGAATATACATAATGACTATACAGATATGTTGGCCGAATACGGTTTTAAATAATTTGTAGGTTTATGCACTAGAATACGTCCAATATGTAATTCCACGTATTTGGATCACGTCTTTTGCAAAACTCAACATTACATGCTATGCCGCTATTTCTTTGAAAAATTATTTTTAGTGTAAATTAGAATAAGTATGTATCCAATAAAAAAAAGCCATTGCTAACTAGTTGTTATCTGAATTATAATTTGTGTTATATATTATAATTAAGTTACATTGTGTACTAACAACTCAATAACATTATTCGTGGTGACAAGCTCAACTTAATAGGGTAATTTAAAAAATAATACATTGTAATTTTAATTTTTGTTTAGATTTCAATCCCAAAAATTGAATTATAATGTTATAATTTACATTATTTTTTTCATTAATAAAATAAATAGTTAATTGTCAACAATAGTTTTTTTTATTATTTATCATTATTGTATTAATGTTTAATAATAATTTTAGTTTGATCATTAATATTACTTTAAATGTGTTAATTTTGTAATTCTGAAAAACTTAAAATTGAAGAGATGTTATTTTACATTTTATACAGATTAAAATTATAACGCTCATAAGGATAATAGATCGTCATAAATTGGACATTATGTACAATAAGTAATAACTGGGTATTAATAAAATACATTTGGAATACAAATATGATCATATTATCAATGGAAATGATTGTGTATTGGACGTTTTTCTATACTGGGAACCTGCATATAGGAACTGAACCTTACAGTATTTGACATTGTCTCTTACAATCGATAATAATTGACGACTCTTTGGCATCGACTGTTTTATAAACTAGGAGTTCTGTCGAGTTTTTATATATGTATGAGAACACTCCATTTTCAAAGCTTACATTTATTAAACGTACCAGTGTGATTTGTTTTTAAATATATTCCGCTATTTATATTAGTATACTCGAGGAGATACCATTGACACCCAGTGACGCCCCTTGTCTAATAATTCGTTTTCTGTACAATAATCTACGCAATCAAATTTATTTCTAGCTATGTTATCATTATAATTCGGGTAATTATGTGTTAGAATAAACGTTTGTGTATAGACGGGAATATAAAAAAAAAAAAAAAATAAACAAAGTATGTATTACAAAGGTAAAACCAATACCCGCGGGCTACGCTAAGAATCTAAAATATATCGTACCTACTTATACATATATATTTATTGTCACTCGCATTTTTTACTCGCGCGCGCACGCATGGAATTATTTACAGACGGCAAGGACATCGCGACAGCAGCTAGCGAACTTCTACTTAATATCATAGCGACCACTACCTTTATACTCTAATGTTTTCTTTTAATTGAAATGTGTCTACATTTGTGAAAACAACGGCATTGCACTCGCTTTTTACAAAACCAAACAATGCGAAATCCGTCAAAAGATCAACAAATCGGATCAAGGTCTTCGTTTTATCGAATCCGAAAAAAAAAAGTTTTTACTCTTTCTTTTCTTTTTGTTTATTTGTAATTAAATTCATATTTCAATTTATAAAATGCGCGACAATAGGTATTTTTTTTTTTAACAAATCGTGGAACCAATATAATATACGACCTCGATCTAATTTGTGTGCCGCAAGTGCGTACATTTAATTGCTATATATATAGAAAACGTATTATAATGTCATAGTACTATATGGAAATGTCCTCTTTCACGATCAACGAATAATTTCGTTTTCGATCGTTCATCGCAATGCCGTAAATAACAGACATGCATAATATACTATAGGTCAACAGGTGATATAATGACAATTGTAAAACGAAAACATAATGTCCTCCGATGCGAATACGACAATAAGACGTACAACAGTATAATTTGCATTATCACAGTATCGTATTATACGCATATAGGTACGTATACGTAAAAATTCACCGCTGTGCGAGAAAATGCGACGATAAAGAAGATTGGAAGAAAATAAGAGACGATTTTACGGCTCTCGTCATCGGGCGCCGTACAAACGGTCAAAATTAAAATCCGTGGTCGGGTCACGGTGTTGCAAAACGAGGCCCGTTTAAAAATCCCATACTGGGCAATAACGGACGATTGTATATTTTTTTTTTTTTACATTACAATGTAACGCGTTTTTCTTTTGATAGTATTACAAATTACGCAACAATATGTAATTTTCTAAATGCAATTATTATCCATAATACTATTATTACTCATGTGTAATATGTAATTTAATTAGTTTTTTTTTTTTTTTTTTTTAACGGCATCCAATAATCCGCGACCATAGTTTACACTCTATCTCTATACAATATATCTACTCTCCGTAAGTGTCCTCAGTCTTCTGTTTACGTCAAATTACCGCTGTGATTTTTTATATTACTATCATCAGTGACGTGCCCGAAAATTTTCAATTGGGAAGGGACGTACAGTAAATAACATAATCACGAATCACGAATAGAAGAACAGCAGAATACCGTGCCCATTAAAACATCGAAATTCCGTCCCAAAAGGCGAAAAATTCTTGTGTGTAATATTGGACTATTAAACCAACATTTTTAAATGTTTTTTTTTTATTTGTTATTTTTATTATAGTTAATATAATATACCGGGACGGAATTCAGAATATCGTGTTGGCATCGCAGGGGATACAGGACGGAATTTAAGTGCATCCGTAGAATCTTTTTCTGTTACAAAATACTTAATACATCGTGACAATGGGGATATAAACGTTTTATTCAATAAAATTGACCTTTTTTTTTTTCAGCTAAATTATACGATTTCAACCTAAAATTACCGAATAAACTCTTATATTGTTGTTGTATTTTAAAATAAATGACTGAGGCGTATAACCTCTATAATCTCCCCACCCTGCGCACACCACAGATTATTATTAGCGTTTCGCAGTGTTTTCGATCATGTAATAGTATTAGTCGTTTTCGAATATTTTACAGATTTTTCGCCGACATACGAATAATATAATACTCGGCCCGTCAGCGTGCAGCGTTTTTTAACCAGCGCGGAGATCATCACCATTATTGTTATATCGATATCAGTGGCATAGCGAGGGGGGTTGTTCTAGGTGTAGAAACAAACCTCCTCCTCGGTCGTGTTTATTGATTACAAGTATATGATAAAACGGTAAAGATCATAAAAAATCATTTTACAATAAGGCCATTATAACAATGCAAATTTCTTAACAATGTTCGTATTTTATAAAAATATTATGATCTCAAAGATTAATTATTGATATCAAAAACTATAATAAATAGTAATAAATAGGTATATTTTGTTAAGCCACACGGTTATTGATATAACTGTCAACGAGATAGATAAGAATATATTTATCTTAAATCCATTTGAGATATTAAATAGTGATATCGATAAACCGCGATAATGAAAAAAAATTGTTTCATTTTTCTTTAAATTTGTTAACTACGTTAAATTCCTGGCCGATCAGTATCAGTTCTATTATTATCATTATCGTTTTGATACAACATTTTTATTTTACGATGATGGTAACATTTGCAATACTATGGGATTTCGTAATGCGTATAGTTATGTGCGACAATGTACGTCAAAAGTTCATAATATCCTATGATGACGGTGGCGACGGCCTATTCGTTTGAAAAATATATGTAATGAACAATATTATTCCAACCCAATATATAATCTTACTATATCTAGTATATATACTTTCATATATTTTTATAAATCGAGATACGACCTTTTTTTTGTTGTTGCAGCAGGCGATATATCTACGATTTAACGATTCCCCGTCAATCCGCTGATTGATTCCCGTCTTCCTTGACCGATCGGGGATAACTTATATACTTTTTTATCCAAAGCGCGTACATTATTTATAGTACCTTATTCGTGGTAATAGTCGTTTTTTCTTTTTTTTTTTTTATTTTTTCAATTTTAGGTGGACACAATTATTGTGAGTAATGTTTACGAGAAATTATATTTAAAAAAAAAATCTAGTCGTCACGACCGTGTATAAATACAAATTCTTTAAGGGCTTAGGATAGTGAATAGCGGCCAAAAATCGATACGGAATAAAACGCCATAGTATATATTATATAAAACCTCGTAGAATCCACAAACTGCATAGTCATGTTATTTTATACTTATATATATTTTTTTTAGATTCTGCAATTTTTTTTTTCTATCCGTCAATACGATTTTAACCAGAAGACTTTTCCCGGTGTATTATAAAACATTACAATAACACCATGACTAAATAAACAGCTGATATGTCAACAAAATTATTCTGCGCCTAATATGTAGCGTGTCCCAGATAAAACCATCATGCATGAGAAACGAAACGACTGAATTAAAATCTGTTTGTTTTAATCGCAGATATTGCATACAGAGCCTATTGAAGCGTTTATTCCATATCTGGGGCACAAGACACATGACACGAAGTTATAAAAGGTCATTCCCAACCCGACATTTTTTTTTCGGACCCACAATGCTATCTAAACATATTGCTCGAATTGAAGGGGGTGAGGAGAGTAGACGGATGGGGTTCACTATCGCGTTTTTATAGATTTTAACGTATCATTTCAATTAATTAACTCAGTAACTTATTCGTATAGAACAAATGTTTATTACATAATTCTTCAAAATTATAATTTGGTTATTCGGGGGGAGGAGGGGAATTAATTCGATATTATAATTAATATTTTTTTTTTTTAATCTATACTTTATTTTATTTAACAAGGTAAATAAATAGGTATTATTAATTAATAATATAGATGTTGATATAGCAACAAATGTTTAAAATACCTTTTAAACTCAAAATCCCGTACGGATCGCTGTAATATTTATCCGGCATGAAATAATCGACGGGCCCGATGATGGTTTCTAAACTAAAACCAGTGACCATCCTCGTTCGTTTTTGTTTCCTAATTCGAGCACTGCGGTTATACACGCAAGACCAGAGGGTAAATCGCTGATACTACTGATTCTCGTACGTACACCAGATTTCAGAACACCGAGATTTTCTGTAAGCAGTGACGTGCGCAGGGGGGGAGGTTAGTAGTTATATCGCCCCATTGGCTTCAAATACAAACAAAATATGAGTAATCTAATGTCGAAATGCATATATTTCAGCCAAGTTACGAGGAAAATCTTGACGTATTGATTAGAAATTGGACTTTTTTAGAATCTGGCTTTTAAATTACCAATTGCCACAGTCAATTTGGGTAGAGAAGGTTAATTTACGGTTTATTCGTGATTCTTGTTTGCTACATCCCCTCCCATTGATAATTCCTGAGCACGCTACTGCCTGCAAGATTACCAAAGATCTCCAAGATTGCCATCAATATTATTGTGCACCGATTTCCGTTAGTTGATTTGCCCTTTTGCGCATTACCGATGATGCCGGTGCCGACACGACGGGCCACTGCCAAAGCGATGACACGGGACGTCATCGGTCGCCAACGAGGCGAATGTCAATTCGCACCCCGCACGCGCGCGCGCTCAGTCCGGGTGGCGCAAGTCGCGTATGATTTGATTTGGACGACACGTATTGGGTCAAGGTATGGGTACGTTACAGCGCAACCGAGGTGACCTTGTGCACGATAAACCGTCGCGCCGTCGAGACTACCGAATGGCATTTCTCGAACAGAGTAACAATAATAAATACACAATCATAATAATAAACGTGCCGAGTCGAGTGTGCGGATTTAACACGTTTTCGTCGTCGTCGGCCACTCGGGCCAACGTCCCGAGTAATAACAGTAATACGAATAACAAGTAATCGTTTTTCGTATCGAGTTCGCGCATGTTTTTTAAGGTGTTAATAACACCATTGAAATCGTGAAAAAAAAAATAGCGCTAAAAATTACTTTATGATTTTTCGTCGAAAACGCCCCTAAAAGTAACGTTTGTAATTTTTTGTTATTCTATTTAAAAAAAAAAAACTATAAAAATATGGTACGTATCCCACGCGCCGACAACGCATTGCCTACGTATAGAGAAGTAACACAAGACACTCATTATCTCGGAAAGATAACTTTTTTCGTAATTTTTTATTTATTTTTTTACAATTTGAGAAAAGAAGTAGCACTAAAATGTTACATTACCATTATGTATATCACTCTTATATTCGGGGGTGAATCGACTACCTAATTTTGATTTTCAAATGTCAACCTGTGTTAAAAATCCCATGAATAGAATCCGGAGTATTAATACATAATATATTAATATTAACCTGTGGTAGAACATTATTAAAACGTCGCATGCCGTATATAAAATTATAAATTTCAATGGCAAAGTTGGTTTAATCTGAAATTCGATTATAAAATTTCCTATCTAATTTAAATTTTAAATATTTACAGAGACAATATATATTAAATTATACAAAACAATTTTTTTTTTTTTTTTTTTACCAATACATAAAACCTGTTTAACCTTTTCATAAAATTATCAAGTATTTCTGTTCAATCAATACAATTATACCTACATAAACCGAAATAAAACCAATCAAATTTCAAAAATGATGTCAATTAAAACAGCTCAAAATAGTTTTGAATATATTACCGCGTCTATAAAAGGCCAGTGTCAGTATTTAATATACATATATGAGATTGTGCGTGCGAATCTCAGGTCTGCACGATTGTTTTTTACTGAATCGTTACAAAAAAACCAAAAATCTAAAATAACGGAAATCGACGGATAGCGTACATTTTTCTGTTTTTACAGGTTTTTCTTTTAGGAAATATGTTACAGTAGAAAATCGGATCAATATTTCTAGTAAAAAAAAAAAAAAACAACACAGAACAAATTAAAAATAATAAAACGCTTAATCGCCGTGTTTTGAAAATCAACCGTACACTATAAAATCTAACGCGTAACGATATTGCAGACGCAAAAATATATCCGGTTCTTTAAAACCATTAAACGATTCTCATATATTCTGTGTCTACCGAGGAACGGGCATTCAAATAAACGAGCCCCGCCGCATATCGTTGGCATATTCTTCAACAACGCGGCCACCGGTTTGTGTATAGGATGACCTTTAGTCACCGTCCAGATGCGTTCTCTCGCGACGGACGGAGTATAACTATATTTTTAAAACGCTAAAATACAAATAAAAACAGCGTATTATATTATCTACTCGTATATTCAATTTTTTATTCCTTTTCTATTATCATTATTATTATTATTATTATTATTATTATTATTCAAAACCGGTTTTGTGTTATAAAAATAATGCGTTATAATAATGGGACTGACTCACTGATCACTCGGAATATTTAATTTATCTCAAAAACAGATTTCATAAATAATTTGAGTCTGAAAACTTACTAATGAAAAAAATAGGTTCTTTTTGTACAGTTAAAAATTTTAATTAAGTCACGTAGACTTAATAATATGTGTGAAAATTAGTACTACCAAAGTTGCACAGTTACAAGAAAGCTTTTCTGGACCCGAAAAATGACGAGAGCCACCGTTTTACATCTTATATCCTTATTTTATTTAACTGAAAATCAAAATCACACTATTTATAAGCATTTGCAAATATAAAAAGTAATGCATAATAATGCTCGTCGAAAGAGAAAAGTGATTTATATAACTCTGTGGCTTGGTGAAAGAATTGCCAATGCCAAAAAAAAAAAAAAAACTGATACTGGGGATGGGTGTATCATTATTGTAGGTGAGAAGTAAGAAGGTTGGACACATACATTAATCTAATTTATATCTATACGACTGTACACAATCAAAAAACAATGCTAACAAAAAACCATTCTGAATAAGTTTCGTAATACACGTTTGGAAATATACTATAGATTTTCGTGAAAAGTTAAAGTTTTAAATATATAAAATAAGCTCCAATATAAGTATTCTTTGAAAATGTTTAGTCTTTACGATAATTATCAACCGAATTTCTCAATTATTAAGAAAACTACTTTATATATAAAAAAAAAATGACTTCTAGCTACTAACTAGTCCAAAATTCAACAAGAAAGGTTACTTGTCATTTTTTGATTGGAGCATGATTTCTGGTAGATAAGTTAATAGAATAAAAATAAAAACGCGCGTCATAATAAAACCAATAAATTCCTAGCTACCGCAAAATATAAAATTTTTAAAAATATACTCATTGAAATAAAATGAGAAAAAAAAGAAAATTAACGAATAAACATCAAAAATTGGAAACTGAAAAATATAAGTTTATTTCAAAAAACACCAAAAATCTAACGTTCATAAATATTGTAATTTATTTTTTTTGCCCATTCGTCATACTCACACTAAGCTACCGAATTATAATATAGATATTTGGTAAATTTAATCCGTCTGGATGTAAATTTTATAAAAATTTTTTTCTTTTAAATTTCTATCAAAATTAATTTTATACCCAAAATGTGTTTCAAATATATACCTATTATTTTAGATTCTGAACGTAGCGAGGGAGCTATTGGTTTAAGAATGCCGTTTATTTCTTCTTTGTTCATTGTTCTAGCCTATGGACACGTTTTTTCTAGTAAACTTGCTCCGATTTTTACGGATAGCACCTTTTCTGAAAACTAAAGTTACCTAAATGGTACTTTCAAAAAGTAATTTTTTTTTTTTTGATTTTAGACACTATTTTTTAAATAAAAGCACTTAAGTGGGAAAAAACGTAGGAAAACGTAAAATTTCACGATTAAATTATTTTATAATACATGGACGAAGTTTTCTACCAAAAAGAATGATTTAATCGAAAAATCACAAGATACCTATTTTTTCGCCTTTTTAATTTACTTTCTTACTGTATCATCACCAAAACTTTTGAGTCACTTTTGAGCTTTCAAGGAATTTTAATTGTTGGGAGTTTTTGCTGTGATTCCGTTATAAATACACGTAGAGTCTTAAAACTTGATAATAATACTTATGTTTAATTTACCTAGACGTGGACAAATTTTCAAAACCATCGGACCACTTTTTTTTTTAATAAACGTTTTAAAGTTCAAACAAAAATCGCAAACAAAAAATTATGACACTTCAAATTATTACCGAACTGTGCTCGGAATCGTCTTTTGTCAAACACTGGTTTATCGTGGCTTACAGATAAAAATGAAATAACTTTATGTATCCTACCTTCCCAACTTTTCACCAACAACAGTAGCCGGCTTCCATCCTCAGTATCAGCTCTTTTTTTTTAATCGATTTAATTTTATTGCAAAACAAGTATGCAGATTTTACATTTAATAAAAACAACACATTTGAAGTCCATAATTATTATTTTATTATAGTATATACTACTTTTTTTTTCTAACCATTATTTACACATAAAATAATTTATTTACTCATACAGTTATTTATACGGAAAATTACGTTCAATGTCAATATTATGTTTTGAATACATTGCAATGGTGTTAGGTACTTATAGTGGTATAAATAATAAATAAATATTTACTGCAGCAGTTGAAAATATCATTTCGATGCACCTTTGTTAATGGAATATTTATAATAATTTCTTTTTTAAGTGACATTTTTCGCAATTATTTTAATTAATATGAATTATTAATTTTCTCGGATATTTATTCTAGGCTAACATAATATGTAATTTAAATACTATATACGAGTCGAATTCGAACAGTTGTACACTATTTTATTATTGCGTATAAATATCATATATTTGATACGCTTAAGTCAAAGTTATTGTCATTGCATATGAATAATACGAGATTAATTATTATTCTCGTACCTATTAGTTGTATTAATTATACGATTCATTGACGATGTTTATATATGTAAGTGTGTATTATCGAGTTTGGCACATGTGATAATAGTACGTGTTTATTTTTCTATTAAAGCGCAAAGAATGTATAAAGGGTTTTATTATCTACTATCATATTTTTTTTATCATCAGCCAGCAATTTTCTCTGAGGATTTAAGTGAATTTGACATTTTTGTTTTGATCATTATGAAACCGTTTAATCTATATTTCAAAACCATTTTTAATTTTTAGCCCTACTCCATATACCTTAAATAAGTACGTACTATTTTGGTTTTCAAATAGAAACCTCCTATCCTTTTGAATAGTAAATATAGGCTTAAACCATAAATCTGATATCAGTGGTATGCATATCAAAATGACAAGAAAAATATTCTCTATTCGAATCAGTGTTCAAAAAAGGGGGTTCCTATTGGAAAAACACAAATATATACTTATTTAAGATATATGTAATATGAGTAAACAATTTAAAATGGTTTTAAAATAAACCGTAAACTTCTTTTCGTTTACCAACAAAGGCACCAAGTTCAACTTGTAAGTTCGCCGTATACCTATCCGCCAAACTATCTACTATATGTTAACCTCAATTTTTTTCTTTTGGCCACTAGGTGCAACTTACAATGAACTTTGTATTCAATTTTCAAGCATTTTTGCTCCGTTAAAATAATTGTATTGACATAAAACTAAATAAAAACTTAGAAAATTCGAAAACATCAAATGCTTATAAATAGCCTATAAAACATAATCAAAAGGTGTTTTTATCGTCCAATTTAAACAAAATCCCTATCTGTATATTTATTAATACAGAATGTGCCAATAGAATTCGCGCTACGGTTTTAATATAAACACGGAAAAATGTATACAATATAAATTATGTAATTAAATATCCACCAAAATTGAAAACTGTAAGTAAGTTAGTTAATTATAAATCAATTAACTACATAGTTTTTTAGATCCTTGCGTTTTTAGTAATTATAGAGATGTCTGAAATAAAAATAAATGAAATAACGTAAAAATATTGAAGATGTTGAAGCGGGTTTATTTATAAATTAATATTTATTATTTGAAAGTACAATTTTGGTATCATATAGTTTAAAAAATCGTCTTAGTTACAATAATATAATATAGGTATGAAAAAAAAATTTTAAATTTGAGTTGTAAATTACATAAATGATTGTATAGTTAAATATAAGTCAGCCTGATGAATAGATGATTTTTAATTTTTATTTTTATTTTGTTACCTAATTTTAACTCAACATCAAGTAGATACTAACAATTTACCCCGCGTGTTTTTATTTTTTGTTTTTCCTTGGATGGTCCTTTAAATTATTATTTGATGACTTTACGCGAACATTTACTTTTAATGACTTATAATGTTAAATTTTAATGTATTCAATATACCTGAATAAATAAATGTATATATATATATATATATATATATATATATGTATAATTCAAATAAAAATATAAATCTAAGTAGGTATACCTATATTATCTAAAATACTTGTTGTTTATACGACGATTTAGTTCCTGTAATGGTTTAATATTGACCTTGAACAGTTGAGAATAGGCTCAACTATGGGTGGAAATCCATGTGGTAGGTGTTTACTACTAATTTTTATAATCGAAGGATGACTGGGATGACTACGGTTTAAATTTTAATCTTATGACAATGACGTGGTGAATAAATGCAAAAATTGCAAAATAATACAGAAAGATTAACTTATAATTTTATATTTTATATTACATCCAATTAAGCCAATGGAGTTATTATACTTTACACTTTTATTTTGTATAAATAGATACCATCCCTCTCCCCCAAAAAAATACAAAAAAAAGACCTAGCTCAAAACAAGCTACCTCAAAAATATATTGATATCAACATTTTCTAAGATTTTCATTTTTTTAGTTCCTGATACCCTGTACTTTTTCCTATTTTTACGAATATACAAAGTTTGTCAATATTTTTTTACACACTCGTTCACTTCATCTGTCCTCGCAATCGCTTTTTTCAGGTTAAAATATTACTGCAAAAATATCTCCCATATTAATATTTATATTTTCATTTCTTTTGGTACATTTTTCATTTTATTTTATCATTTATTTACCTATATTGTCCACTCAGACGTTCATTTATAGTTTAGATCCGAACATTATTATAAAAGTTTAAAAACCTAATACATTGTTATGCAAAGTTTATATGCCTGGCCACTGGACAGTTACGAATCCAATGATATATTATATATAAACATAACTCTGAAGTTATAAGTGTACCACCCACTGAATCAGGGCTTAAAATAATGTGTAATCTGGATACCTAGCACTGAATATGTATCCTGGAAATTAATGTGTGCAGTTCGAATTATAAAAAATCCTTCTGTATAGTACTTATTACCTGTAATTTTTGTAACGGGAATTTGAATTTTAACTTTAGAAATAATAATAATAAATTACCGAATAAAATAATGGTTTCAAATATCTTCCACAGAAGGGGGGCGCATTAAAACGAAATAATAACAATACATAAATACGTATAAAAATATAATATAACAAATTAAATACACATTAAAAAATAGGTACGTTGAAAAAAGATCGCGGCACATGCGTCTGTATGCCCTTCAGATTACCCTTTATAACTGAGTTTTACAACCTCAACTTAAAAATAAAGTAAATATGAGTATTTATTTAGTAATTTTATCTTGAAAAGATAAATTTCAACCAAGTAGTTAAAAAGAAAAAAAAACCTTATTTTGTTGAATAAATATTGCATTTATTGTATTCGGCTTTTAAATTCTCATTGTTAAGTTAGGTACCTATGACAAAAGAAAATTCTACGATTTATTAATGAATCATGATTATTATTTATATTATACGTTACATCCATTGAAAATTCCTGGGAACGCAATTGGTTATGGAGCGATGTATACATATATAGAGAGCTGATAGTGGAACTACATTATGTAATATTATATACAATTTTTAAAAAGCTAAAAATATTGGCCGAAGATTTCAAAAATAAAATATTAGAAATACCAATTTTAAAAGCATTTACGAAATATGTTTTCATGACAAACATTTATGTAACGCGTGTATCACTTGTAATCTCCCCCCACCCCAAAAAAAAAAACAAAAATGTAATTCAAAATTATCTATCCTTGGATTCGACTATTACGAAATCCCACGTAGAATTAAAGATATCGGAAATTGTTGGAGGTCACGAACATTTGTTGCGTGGGATTTTAAATGTGCAGAGACGATCGGCGGCGTGTTTATCACTTTCTACCAAAACTATAATAATGCTGACCAGTGTGACTGAGACTCGGTGTGTTATAATTTATGAACTTCTTTAGAATATTATTGTATTTTAGTCTCACTCGATATAGTAGAATTACATATTAGAATACATATTTATTTATTAGGTAAACAATATCAATAAATATATTAATATTATACGAAAATATATGTCTCGTGAATGATCATTGCGATATCTTAGAAAATATTAACTATTTTATTTGTATGAAAATTTAAGAAACAAGTAGCTCTAAAATGTTACATTACCTTTATTTTTTATCACCCATTTGACGGAAATCAAAACATTCAACATCAAAACGTATCTAAACTAATACTCTGTCTATTTTTGGAATTTTTATTATAGGTTGCCATTTGAAAATCAAAATTAGTCGATTCACCCAAATATGGGCGATAAAAATTATGTTAATACAACATTTAAGAGCTAGTTGAATTGTAAAAAAAATAAAAATTATAAACAAATTTACTACCTTTTAAGATATTGGATCATATTATATTCGTGTATACACCCTGAATAATATGTGACCATTACTGTATTCGTTTGCAATATTATATATTAACGATTCAAATCCAAATCTACCACTTCATAAGGACATAACATCGCACCCACAGAAATGACTAAAATCTCGAGGCGTCCCATACAGGACCAGGAATCTCCAACAGAATCGAACACAAACAGGAGTTAATTCTTTTAATTTTGTCAAGTTACTCAACACATCATAATAATTATCATATAATGTTGCAATTCTGTAGGGTTTTCGATATTTCATGGACGAAAATTATTATTACAATATAATAAACCTATCGATTATCGTTAATTTGAATTTTGATTTTCGTTTCAGAAAGAGAACATTAAATATAGTAAAGTTACGTAGTAAAAATAACGTAATTTCGTCTAATATAATTATTATTACCGTAACGACAACCGAGTGTTTTATTTTATTTCATATATATTTTTTTTTTCATTTAATTTCACACGCAATTTATAACGATTAGGTCAATCTTATTTTCGGATACTTATAGCTGAAACAATCGTTAATAATTATTTTGAAACTTTGACCGCAGTATTTAAAAGTATTTAAATCAAAATATTCGACCACTAAAAAAAGTATTCGAATATTTACATGTTTTAAATGCTTTACTGGAAATTAGATCCTTGATATTATATTTTTTAAAAGTAACATTTGTATTGGAAATCGAATATCTATCAATTTCAAATGCTTTTATTACTATTTTAAAAATTCTTTATTCCATAATACATTAAATTTAAACGCATCCCATGGTAAACCGTGTCATTTGAAAATTAAATGGATTTAAAATTTTAACTTTTATTGGCCATTTAATCCAGTGGTACAAAAAAATATCAAAGTCTACTTATGGGGTAATAGTATATGATAAAAGTATTTATAAATACTTTTTAAACGTATCTATATTCAAACTCGAATATCTTCGTTTAGTGAAGTACTCAAATACTTATAGGTATTCTAAATATATTTTAAAATAATATCTGTTGTAATTGTAAACTCGAAACACTTTTTAAGGATATATTTTACAAGTCTATTAGTAAGTTTATAATAAAACGGCATTAAATTGGTTTGAAATGGAATTGTTTTAAACCTGAATTTATTCTTGTCTTTAAAACAGTTTAAAAACATCGAAACTGCTTTCTAAGTTAAAACTCTTGCACTAGGTAATTTAAGAAACTAAAACCGTTTTAAGCGTTTTAAACAGTTCATAAAATAAATATATAATCGCGTTTAAGAAACCTTAATACTATATCAGTTTTTTTTTTTTGTGCGTTGCCTGGCTAATTATTATTACCCGTTGTTTGAAAAAGACACGTCTTGATTTGTTTTTTTATATCCCATCAAATACTTACATTAAAACAATATGATAAAGCAAATTCAATTCAATTCTAACAAGATAACGAAATTATTTAAAAAATCGGTTTACAAAATGTTCACTGAACCGTCTTCATATTTCTATAGACATTTTAACGTAATAATATATAGACGAGTAGGCATAATAAATCCTCAGCCAAACCGTTCTAGTACATTTAAAAACGATTTAATTTCAAACTGTTTTATCGTATAGGCTTACTGTAATATTATAAAGACCCCATAATTATTTCTTTATTCTATCTATCTCGGACGCATAATGTAGCAACAAAAGCATTCCGTACTGTAACAATTGCGATATTATCTCAAGTCGAATTTAGGACAAAGGCACATCTATTACACAGTGTAATATAAAAATGAGCATTTACAATTGTATACCTAAATCGAATGATTTTTTTTTTTTATTTTTTATTTTTAATCGTAACAAAATTCGTGTTTTAAATCAACTTTATTTTTATAATTTTAACCATGAATATCGTATTGAAAAACGTATAGATTTATTAATACTATAGAATAATTGCATGAAGGCATGATTTTGGTAAAAATTATTTTCATGGACGTAAGAACAGCCCCTTATAATTTTTAAACCACTGACACAAGTCAGAGTAAATGTATAACGATGGCGTTCTTGAAAAGTCGAACATTTTACTTTTGATTTTTATTTTTACGAGATTTATAAAATGGATATTTTCGATAGATTGCCTACTTAATATATTGATATATTATTTTGATATGCTATACGAGTACATAATAATATGCTTTATCTGATCAAGTAGACAAAAATAAAAAAGATGGACATACTTTTCACGATGAATAGACCACTGTTGTAGGTGAGAAGTTGGGAAGGTAAGATACAGATGTGAATTTAATTTATATACGTACAAAACGATTAATGTCATTGCTAATGAAAAACAATTCTAAATGGAGTTCGGTTATACATATTTTAAAAGGCCGTAATATTTACGGTATCATCAAAATTTGATATTAAAATTATTACAAAAAAAAATTCTACACTACACTAAATTGTTTTTTTTTTATTTTTGACCACAAATTACGAAAAAAGTGTTTAAGATTTCCTGTTTGGTTTAACAATTTTATCCACAATAAACCTACCGGATACAAACTAGTAAAAAAGTTCCCAAAATTAAAATGTCCATAAATAGTTTTAAAAAAAGGCTAAAATGTTTTGAAAATTTGACCACGTCTAGAAAAGACAAATATAAACCAATACATACCCCGCCTAGCTCAGAATCGAAAATTACAAAAAATTATCAGTGGATTGAAAATATTTGACTAATTAACAAAATCGACAATTTTGAATTCAAGAAAATATTATTTTTTTAGCAACTATTTATGATAACGATAATATTCAAAGTTGATATCGCAGTCATTGCACATAAACTTCTCATAAATAATATTATTTGCTTTGAAGTTATTATTGCAATCTATATAATATGATAAAGTCTCAAATAACTTCCCTGTAGCCCTGATTGATGACACAAAAAACGCATAATAATATAACATATATATTAGCTTGTACTTGATAAACCTCCTTAAAAAGGTTGAATAGGGTTTTCTGAACTTTCTCTAATTTTGTAAATTTGAAAATTATTTTTTTGTCTTTTAATAATATCTTATGATTTCTCCACTATTCTACCCATTTAAGAGGAAGGAATATGGCCGGTTTTACGGACAAATATGACCTTTTAGACTAATAATCTGGAGTGAAATTCATTCACCGAATCTCGCCCAATTTTAATTTTGAAAACATTCGACTTCTTATCTTTGTTTTATAGGAAACATTATTCTACTCGTTTTTTATGTAGGTAGTTAATTTAGTTATAGTATATGTATGTAATAGTTTAACCTTTTTTTTTCTTAAAGTAAACTCGTACCTGTGTCAAAAAAGTTTTCTATAAAAACAAAAAAAAGAAGTGTACAAAGTCAAAACCTGTTTAATACCAAAATTGGATTACTGGATGTATTTTTGATTTACTACAGCTTATCGGTCTAAATGTATGACAAAACGAATTACTTCCAAACATCTTTAGTTTATTTTCTTTTTTCTTTTTAATTGTGCACTTACCGGGTGATACGGTGGACGACGGCCTGACACACGTGGGTCGTCCAATAACTTGTGAACGACAATATTATTACGATGCGTTGACGGGAACGCACGCAATGAGGTGGAACAGAACGAACAACGCGGTCGGTCGGACGGTCGCCGTACAATTACCGTGAAGTCACCGGCAACACACGAGTCTTCAAGCAACCGAACCTCAATAGGTACCTCCTCCTCCTCCTCCTCTTCCTCCTCCTCCTCCTACTCCTCTTCCTCCTCCTTCTCCTCCTCCTCTTCCTCCTCCTCCTCCTCCTACTCCTCCTTCTTCGCCGCTCCCAACTTACCGGTTACAACACGGATACAACTGCTGTAGTCCTGAATCCGGCGATTGTTAGCGGGTTACCACGGCTGTTCTGCCTGTCGAAAAACAACCTGAGATTTCGTCCGGAATCGGCGAACATCATAATAACCGTGTCATTATCATTTATCGTAAAATATTTTCATGTTTACCTGAAAACTCACGACTATCAAAATAACATATAAATAATAACAACTATACTATCGCATTATTATTATTATTATTATTATTATATCTCGTACGACTGGACAGATAATAAATTTAGTGTTATTAACAATGTTTTACTTTTGCGTATACAGCAGAACCTCGGCGAGTCGGAGTTCGATGGAAATGAAATTCTTGCTTGAACTTGTCGAGGTTTCGACTTACCGAGAGGTTTCGAGTTTTCAAGGTTGTTGGAAATCAAATTCGATTTAAAAAGGTTTTTTCACAGAAGTATAATATTATGCAGATAATAGGTACTCGGTTTATCATAATCGTATGTATGTAGTTATTTTTTTTAATAATTATGATTTATGATAGTACACATAGAATTTATAATGCTGCGATGAGCATGCCCATTGCGTGAATAGAATTGTCCTTCAAATTTGTGGCAAAATCTTCATACAAAATTTCTTGTAGGGGTGTCAATTAGTAACCATCATATTAGAATCTAGAATAAATAATGTCTGCTATAGTAGGTACTGTATAAGCAAAAGTTAGCGTGCAGTAGGTAATGTTTGTTTTTGAAAATTATGAATTACTGAATTATGTTTGAAAATTGGCGTGGGTGGTGTGGAGGGCTAAGCTTCCCACGGGTTGGGTTGAGTTCAATAATTGCAAGGAATGCATAACTATAATATATGTCATATCATGTTATAAAAAAAAAATATTAGTAATAATATGGCAAAATAATTACATATGCATTGTATATTTTCTTAAATAATATTTGTTTAATATTGTACCTATTTTTCCTACGTTTTTCCTAATTTACTATGAAAAAAGCTAGAAAAATCAAAAAAATTACCTCCTCAAGATATCACCCCAGTCAGATTTTCTTTCAGAAAAAGTGCTTTCATTTAGTGATTCATACAATATAGTTTCTAATTGATAACATTTTCTACGGACTAATATCGTCCAAAACGAATAATAATTACACAGTTATACCTTACTTTTAAAATAAATGTTTGGGAGGGAGGGAGGATGACTAAAAAATGTCACCCCGGGGTCTAAACTTCAAAATACGGATCTGCGCGAAAAGATAGTAACGCTATAGTAGTATAAATTTTACATTTTATGACATTATATTTTACTGTTGTGTGCGTACATCAGTTGCGCGTTCGTAATAGCCGTGATGTCGTCCGGACGCAATGCACATTCCTCTCCCGTTTTCTAACTGTACAATATCTATTTCAACACGTTTAATCTTCAAAACTAAACATTCGCTGTTTTACGATCCAATTCGGATGCTTGTAATGTATGTTATTATAGTACCTATATTATATGTCTACTTGAAACCTGCGGGCATATTATCGTACCCGACACTATTATTATTAACATCATCATACGTTTACCAACGTTACATGTTATTGTTTTATGTTTTTTCGCGGATAACCCTCTTATAACTGTACGTACACTTATAATATAATATTATTACAATAAATAAATATTGTCGTAAAAGAGCGTGCGGGTGTTGTCGTATAATTATATGTATACATTTTAGATTCTGAGTGGAGTGAAGAAACTTATGGTTTTACAGGTTTTTTTTCCCTGTGAATAACCTTTCTACCACAATTTTGATCTGATTTACAATGCTAACACTTTTTCTAAAAGGAAATTTAACTGGGGTGGTAATTTTTTTCATTTTTTTAAGTCGTTTTCAAATGTTATCAGGTGTTTTTGTAATAAATGAGAAAAATTTGAAAAAAGAACATGGAAACTCTGGAAAAACGAAAAAATGGATACAATATTAAATAAATTTAATAAATATTATATTGAAAAAATATATAATGCATATGTCATTATTTTATCATAATATGACATATACTTTGAAAGTGTCATATTTCGATTTTCTTAAGAATATTCAAAGCAAATGTGAAAAACCAAGAAAAAACACGGGAAAACGAGAAAATTGGTACATTCAACAAATATTATTAAAAATATAATTATTATTATATAATATATTATGTACTTCTACATAAAATCCTATTATTTTAATTATTTTTGTCTTCCATTACTACATATAGTGTCATAGTTCCCAACTAACCTTATTCTAAATTTCCTATTTTTTGTATTACTACACTTCTTACTTCCCAGCGTGGCCCACCCATGTGCGAAGTTGCCCGGTTTGTTCAATTTTCAAACTTTAAAAAGACGTCCTAGGATAATCGGGACGGGTGCAGCCATTCTTAAAGATAATTTAATGTATATCTGTTGGCAACGATTAATCATTGCTAACAAAAAAAGGATTCTGAGTGGAGTTCGGTTGATATTGATGCTTTATCAATAATATATATGTCATATTATGGTATAATAATTAAATAGGAGTTATATATTATCTTTAATAATATTTGTTCAATATACCGATTTTCCCGTTTTTCCTACGTTTTTCCTGGTTTTCCCGGGTTTTTCCTGGTTTTTCACATTTACTGAGAAAACTCTTAAGAAAATCGAAAAATGACCCGTCTAAAGTACCTCCCAATAAAATTTCCTTTTAGAAAAATTGCTATCATTATAAGTTGGAGCAAAATTTCTGGTAGAAAAGTTGTCTACAGAAAAAAAAAAGCCGTAATATTTTAAACTAATACCTACATTTCTTACATTTTCCGTTTTTCCTCCAATTTTTTCGATTTTTCACATTTTCTGAAGAAACAACTATGCTATTTTGTACATCCCAAGTGAATACCTCCAAACTCAATAAATAAAAATAAAAGAAACAAAAGATATAAAACTAAATTAATTAACAAAAACAAAAATTTGCAAGAACTTTTGGTCTAGTTATATTGCCTCAATAGAAAAATAACAAGAAACCTTTTTTAATTTCATTGGTGAGTATAAAAGTAGCTTTTAATTTCCCCTGTAGGTTTTTTAATTATTGAGCGAGACCGAAATAAAACGTAGAAAGAAAAATTTACAAAAATAATGCTTTTATTGTTTTAGATTCTGAGTAGAGCAAAAAAATGTATGGTTTTCCAAAGTTGTTCCCAAAGATGTTCAATTTTTTCAATATTTTTCCCATCAAAAGTGAAAAACCGAAAATTAAAAAGGTAAAAAAACGGGAAAATGTACAAAATATATTACTATATTATTACGATTTTTTTTTTTCTGTGAACAACTTTTCTACCGGAAATTTTGCTCCAACTTATGTTGAGAGAAATTTCACTGAGAACTTTAGAGAAGTCGTTTATCGATTTTCTCCAGAGTTTTCCCAGCAAATGTGAAAAACTGGGAAAAACATAAGAAAACCGGGGAAATCGGTACAAAATTAAACAAATATTATTTAAGAAAATATATAGAGCCTATTTAATTGTTTTATAATAATATGGCATATATATTATTGCGAAAGCATCACTATCAGCTGAACTCCGCTCAGAATCGTTTTTTCGTAAGAAATGGTTTATTGTTATTTACAAGTATACATTAAATTACCTATAACAGTGGTTGCACCCATCTCTATTATCCTAAGACGTCTTTTTTTGTTATTTTTCAGTTGAAAATATTCGTAAAGACTTGAAATTATAACAGAAAACTTATAATTGCTTTTTCTAGACATAATACAATTTTAAATTAAACAATTTTTAAGCTATTTATTGACATTTTAATTTTGTGATTTTTTTTTTTTGTTCTTTTTTTTTTTTTTTTTTTTATTTTTTTTTTTTTTAGAGATCTGTAAATAAAATTGTTAGACTAAACAAAAATGCTTGAAAATTTAACAGAAAGTTCATTATAAGACATAATTAATGGTCAAAGAAAAAAATGAGGTAAATGTAGCAGTTTTTTTATTTTTATAAGAGTTTTAATAACAAATTTTGATGAAGTATAATCTCAGGCTTTTTATTAAAGCATTTCTCAATAGTTTTTGGATATTTAAATTTTATAATAAGATTACGAATTTGAACATCTATTAAGCCATACAAAATATTTTAATTTAGAAAGAGAAAGAAGTTGAATGTCTCGCCAGCCCCTAGATTTAGTTTTGACTAAGTTCCAATATAAGCAAACGAATAGAGATGACCGAAAACCCGCAGAAGAAGCTAACAAAACATGTATGTTTTATTCAATGTTATTTCGTTAAGTAGTATTGTTGGCAGTACATACTTTTTCTGAAAACTATAAATATCATCAATTTTAAAAACATAATATTAATTTGTTGTCGTTAATTTTGCAGTGTAAAACTTTCAAAGACGAACCACTCGAAATCTCAAACTTATAAGTTTTATCAAACACGTTATTTTTTTTTTTATAATTATTCATTAGATACATCTTATTTTAATAATATATACATAATGGTATTTTAAATCGCATTGCTTAAAACATGATGTAGGTACAATAAAATATAACTATTTATGCAAGAAAAATAATACATGTCACATATTTACATTTATATATAAACTGCAAAATTCTAATATATTTCTGATGATAAAATTATATGCTACATCAATTATTCGTAGCCTGATGTTTATTAATAAAATCATTGTACTAGTACACATTTCATAGTTGTATGCCTTTATAATATTTTCCTTGTTAGATAACCCTGACTATTACTTTTTTATAAATGTTTTTATTAGAACTTTGGTGAAATATATCTACATACTATACTCATTCAAAAATACCAAAAACTTTTAATTTTTAATATGATAATTGTCAGCAAAAGCATTGCATTATTTGTGAGCCCCGAAACAAACTGTGTAGTCCGAAATTGAAATTATATGTCGTACAGCTTTGAGAAGTGTATACTATATAGATACTGTATAGATCCTATAGTAGATCAAGCATACCTATTATTACACAGAAATTAAATTGTTATATTAATTTTATTAGCGTTTGCGTTGAACTTCAATTTATGTTATTATATGTTATACTTATCGGTTAAATCAGTCCAAACAAACTTTCATTTTTTTTTTT